TAATTAAATATTTATAAACATTTACTAATTAAATATTTATGAACAGTTACTAATTAAATATTAAATATTTGTTTATTAAATATCTATTCATTATAATATTTAAATTTAAATAAATAATTAAAATAAGTCACACACAATATAAAGATGGCAAGTGTTCAGAAAAAAAAAATTAATACTTCATTTTGACTGCAGTTTCTGTTTTAGTTTTATTTTTCTTTTCTTTTCTCTCTCTCTGTTAATTAAAATTGTACATTTAATTTTATTGTTGTAATTGTCAGGCTTTTAGCGTCAAGAAAATATGAGAGATTTTTTAGTTAAAATTAATTGATCCTAAAGCACTCGAGTTTTAATCCTTTAATAACCTCCAGAAACAGCGTGTTGAAAATGAAATAAAAGAAAAAAAACCAGAGATTCATCTCTTTCAACTTTAATTAAGAGAACATCTTTTATAACAAAAATTTTTATTAAGTTATATATAATATTGGGAAAAAAAGCAAAAAGAAAAAAAGAAAAAAGGAGAAAAATAGGAAAATAGAAAAATAATTTCTTGATAAATGCAATTTTTTTTCTCATTCAGCAAAACAGGAAAGTAATTTTTTATTGGATAATAATTATGTTTAAAAATGTATATTATTTATATCTTAATTAACTTTTTGCAATTTTTATTAGTATTTTAATTATTTGTTACTATTATTCTTAGTATTTTTAGTATTTTTATTATTATTACTATTATTTACAGTATTTTTATTATTATTATTTTTCTTACTATTTTCGTAATGAAAAAATTAAATTTTTATAATAATATTATTAATAATAATAATAATAATAATAATAATAATAATAATAATTTATATTATTATTATTTTTAACTACTACCTATTGTTATTAAAATAATTTATTTATTTATTAATATTTTTTATTGATATTTTATTTATTAATGAATATTATTAATTATTATTTAAAATATTTATAAATATTATTAATTAAATCTGATTGATATTGCAAACAAGGAAGTTTGAATATTTTCGTTATTAACTTTATTTTAATTTTTTTTTACTCATAACGTTTATTATAGATTTTTCTCAATAATAAAAAAAATTAATTAGTAAAATCACACGCGCGGAATATTGTAGATAAATTTATTTTTGGAATAATTAAATTTTAATGATAACAAGCACGTAGTAGAAATTAATAACGCAACAATAAATAACGATAAAGAATTCAATAAATTTATTATAATTAAAATGAAGAATTCAATAAATTTATTATAATTAAAATAATTAATTAAATATTCAATATTATCGTATAAATAATAATTAAAATCAGAAAAGTTAACAAGTGATAGAGACATTTTTTCTTTGTGCAAAAAAAAAGCAACGGAAATGTTTCTATTATTTATTGAATTTCAATTAGCAAGACAGGTTTTATTTTAATAAGCTAGTTGTAATGGGAGTACTAATAATAATAAATGCATGAATGTGATAAGAATTTATTTCGTTAGCAAAAAAGGGAGTAATCACTGTTTCTTGTTATCGATTTTTTTTAATTATTGCTTGTGTTTAATATATTTGTTTTTATATTGATACTTGTATTTTATTTGCTTGCATTGATTCTTGTTTTTATTGATACTTGTATTTTAATATATTTGCTTGAATTGATTTTCTTTTTTTTTTATTGATTCTGGTTTTTATTGAGATTAGAAATAATTATAATAATTTGAGATTGACTTACATGAACATCAGGTGTACTATCGTCTGAACGTAACGTAGTTGTGAATGTAATGGGCATTTGAATTTCCGGTTTGTTAGGCGCCTTGCCTTTGATACGAGATCGAATTCCATTAATCAACGAGGAGGACTTGGTGTTCTCTTCGTGTTTTTGTAATTGATACACCGTACACGCACTATCAAATTGCACACTCTTTTTAAATTCAGAAGTTGGGGACGAGTCATTGCTCTTTATACAGGAATGCCTGCGACCAATTTTTACCCTCGGTCGTGAAATTTGTAATTTAGACTCTTGATTTTGGATCATCTCTAAAGATTTGTAATTATTGTCGTTCTCCATTCGATTTTCTGCAGCAATTTCAGTCTTTTTAATTTCTTCCGTTGTGTTCTGTTTGTTCACTTCGATCTTTTCATTTTCGTTAAAATTGTTCTTTTCTTCGAAATTATTCCACTTCTCATGAATTTTCGATAAAATGTTTTCTGCATCTATCTCCACTGTTGATTTATTTAGGCTTTTTGTATTTTCCGGATTCGATTCAGTTTCCTCTCTTTTTGAATGTTTCGTCAACGAAAGGGTGCTTTCGATGTCCATTTCCCTAGAAATTGGCTGCCTTCTTTGGTGGACAAAACTTTCTGAACTCTGCTCCTTTGTTGTATCCTTGGAATCGAACTCCCTTGTTTTGGAAAATTTTTCAAAGTCTTCCCTAGTGTTGAAATTTATTTCCTCTGTATTGAAGTTCTCCTTAATGTTAATACACTGATTACTGTTATCCCGATGAATTTCGTAATGTTTGATGAAATTTCTAACACTACCAGGAGTTATTGAAAAAGCGGATTGGTCGTTACTTAGAACTACGGGAGTCTTTGCATTATTGTCAATACTATTATTAATGGTTTTGGAACATCTCCTATCTATGGCACACTTATCGACACTAGCAATCTTAAGTGAAGCGCACGGCAAGGCATCGCTTGTATTAGTGACCTTGTCACTTGCGCTACAATCTTTATTCTTCACTCTCAATTCATCATTATCGTCATAATCATCATCATCAGTCTTTTGAACGCGCGCACTTTTATCCACAAATTTAATATGATTGGCACTTGTGTTACTATCGTCAATAATAATTTTACTACTCGAATCGTTAGCAATGCTTTTTAATTTAATTGCACTAAAATTGCACAACAGTTCATTGAGTACGTCACATTTTGCCTCGTTTATGGGTTTATTTGGTTCGTCGATTGTGGGAAATTTTTTTAGGGAATTTTTTTTTGTTGATGATGGAATGTGAAGTTCTTGTTTTTTGGGGATCGTTTGGGAATTGTCGTTGGGTTTACGGTGGGTCGCTATCACTTGGCAAGATATTTCGTTGTTGGTGAGCATGTTATCGAGAAAGGAATTTCGACGGACACTCATTGGAACGGTTTCCTTGGGACTTATCGGATTTGGGTTGTTTTCGTCGGAATTTTTCGGTAATGCGTCTGTATTTGTTGATTTAGATTCTGATGTTTCTTGGAAGTAGTTTCCTGTTGGTGGTTCTTTTGGTTGTTTTGATTTTGGATCCTCTTTTGCTTCTGTGTGCTTTTTTGCTGCTTCTGCTTTTGGAACTTCTGTTGATACTTCTGTTTTTGAATCTTCTGTTGTTTCTGATTTTGGATCTTTTGCGTTTGGATGGTTTTTTGCTTCTTCTGCTTTTCGATCTTCTGTTGCATCTTCTGCATTTGGATCTTTTGCTGCATCTTCTGCATTTGGATCTTTTGTTGCTTCTTCTGCTTTTAGATGTTCTGCTTCTTTTGATTTCGGATGTTCTTTAACTTCTGCTTTTGGATCTTTTGTTGCTTTTTCTATTTTTGGATCTTCTGCTGCTGTTTCTGCTGTTACATCATCTTTTGTCTCTTCTGCTTTTGGATCTTCTGCTGCTCCTTCTGTTTTTTGATCTTTTGTTGTACCTTCTGCATTTGGATCTCTTGCTGCTTCTTCTATTTTTGTTAGTCTATCGTTGCCATTGTTTATCAAATCACAAAAAGAAGAATCACAAGCGTCTTCATAACTAACACTTTTGGACCCAAATGTCTCGAATTTTGAAAAGTGCCTTCCAGTCTTGAAAAATTCATCCCTAGAACTTCCCTCTGCGGTAATATCCAGAATAAAGAATTGTCCGGAGTTGGAACAGTTCTCGTATGTTTGGAATTTTGAAGTTCCACTAACAGAACAAGTATCATTGGCATAAATTTTATCAGCAATAGCTTCGTTACCATGAATTTTATCAGAAGCTTCGTTAGCATCAATTTCACCCACCAAAGAATCATTACCATAAATTTTATCAACCAAAGAATCCTTAACATAAAAATCACCCAAAACATCATTACCACGAACCAAACTTTCATTAGGACAAACTTTATCAATTGCATTAAAACAATGTTCTCCCTCTCTCGAATCAGAATCAATTTGCATCAAATTAAAATCATCATTGTCGCAGAGTAATGAATCGAAAGTTTGGGTATTGTTCGTCGAATGTTGAATTTCCTCGCAGATTGTTTGTATTTTTTGCAATTCCTCAAGATCCCTGTTGAGTGATTCTAAATTTTGTAGACTGTCCATTGTTATTTCGGCATTATCGTCGGGTGTTGAATTACTTGGCGATTCAATGACAAAACGAACTTTTGATCTGTTCGGTAAATAATCACTGTGATTACTTTCCAAACTCTCCAAACGAAATAAATCAGGTCGCGCGTTTATTCGTTTACTTCGATCGAGATAGTCGTCGAATATAAAGAGATTCTCCTCATAACTCTCGAATTCGGGATTATTGAATGATTGTTGCCAAGTGCCGAGGCATTTTTCAAATGGAACATTTGTGGTGGTCACGCGAAAACAAACTTTACTGTTGTCGTCAATTAAATTATTCGATGCGGTGATTTCTTTTTTTTCTTGGGAATTTGTCTCGCCAATGACACTCTGGAAATCTTGGAACGTGAACAAAAGTGGTGGATATTGATTTTTAGGGATGTTTGTTTGTTTCGAACATTCTTGACAATTTTTTGTAGCTTTTGTAGTATCGTCCAAAGCAGCTTTTCTAGTATCGTTTACGATAGTATTTTTAGTTTCGTTTTTAGTTTTAGCGAAAAATTCCAGTTCCTTGGAATTATTCATTGGATTTACTACTTCGACTAATGAATTGCAATTCTCGACGACATTTTCCGTTTTTCGAAGTTGGGAATTTTTTGTCAATTTTTTCTCTCGAATTTTTTGTACTGGAGGCGGCGGTGGAGGAGGAGGAGGCGGAAGACGTGGTTTTCTTCTAGGTCCCAAAGATGGTTCCCGAGACGTTTCAGAATTGACGCTCGTTGAAAGATTATTCTTTCGTTTCTTTCTTCGTGGAGGTATCGGCGGAGTTTGCTGATCGATCTCATCTGAAAAAGAGGGAAAATTTTTATTGCAGCATTCATCTACTTTTTTTTTACTCCTAGTCGACTATTATTTAATATTGGAGACAATTTTTCTAAATTCCCCAAGGAGACAAATTGTACCAAAAAATTGAATTCAGAAATAAAAAATAGGATCAAAATTTGGATCAAAAATAATCATAAATAGAATCAAAATTTGGATCAAAAATAATTATAAATAGTATTAAAGTTTGGATCAAAAATAGAATCAAAATTAGAATAAAGAAGAGAAACAAAAAAATGTTTTCAGAAGGAAAAAAGTGAGTTTAAATATACCAAAGAAATAGTAAAGATATAATTGAGTTTTTCCGTTCGTTCGTTCGTTTTTTTTTTGTTGTGGTGAACGCGATTTTAGAAAAACGATTGACGTATGTAATTGAGATAATGGCAAAGGTTGAATCGGCAATGCTCACATTTATTCATGATAAATAATGTTGTCGGTTCTTTGGGAGTAGAGAGAAGAGGAGATATTGAGACTTTGTGTGTTTGGTTGCTCGCGATGAAAACGTAAAAGGCAAAAACGCGATACTGGCCACGAGGGATAGACCATCGGTAAGATACTAAAGGTGATTCCTTAGAAGTGACATTCGATCCGTCTTCTTCCCCTAAGCCCCCTCTCATTTACCTCTTTTCAAACGACAATGTCTTGCGCGTGTTAACTTTGATCGTGTCATGTATGAAGATTCAATAACACTTATGTAAGTGGAGACAAGTTCTTTTCTTGGTGCAAGAAATTCTAGTCCTCTGACCTCAAGTCCCATTTTCCCCTTTTATATATACTATATAGTTAAACTCATTCATTTAATTTTTTTGGTTTTCATTTTTCTGTACTTTCACTCACCTACTCCCTGGAAAGACTGCAAAAAGAAATTTTAATTTCTCGGTTCTTTTTTTCTTTGGAAAATAGTTTAGAATTTTTGTTTTTATCATTTGGTGTTAATAACAGCGAGGTTCTTTTTTTTTCTGATTTGGTGTTGATAATTTCTACCGTGACAAATGGATTCGATTCTATTTGTATTAATAGTATGCTAATAAAGCATTGTTAGCTAATAATTAACTAGTAGTAATTTTCTAATGCTACCAATACTAATTGTACTGCAACTAATACTATACTGATGCTGATAGTGTTAATATTTTTAATTTTAATACTAATAATACTACTACTAATAGTACTACTATCAATACCACTAATAATAGTATTACTACTAGTAGTATTAGTATTCTACTAGTATAAACTATAATAATATAAATATTAGTAGAGGAAACTTTAAAAATGTAAATAGTAGCATAAATCAAAAAAATTTAAAGATTGTATAAACAGAATAAGTATTTACTAATAGTAAAAATACTACTAGCACTGATATTAATAGTGTTATTACTATCAGTATTAATATTTTTTAGTATTTTTACTGTTAGTATATTAATAGAAATAATAATAGTAATCCTATTATTTAAAAAACTATTAGTATTAACATAATTAAAATAAAAATACAAATAGTGTTACTACTGATAATGTTAAAATACTACTAATGCTAGTAAAATAGTAATACTATTAAAATACTAGTAAAATAGTAATACTACTAAAACGCTAGTAATAATAAAAATACTGAAAGAAATAATATTACGAATAATAAAAATACTATTAATATTTATAGTATATTAATACTGTCAGTATTTTTACTATAATAGTAAAAATACTAATAGTACTAATAGTACTACTAGGATTGAAACTAAAAGCAGGAATTTGAATAATAATATTAGTACCAATAGTAAAAAAGAATAATAGTATGGATAGTGATATTATTACTGAGATTAATTATAGTGAAAATACCGATAACAGTAAGAATACTAATAGTATAAATAGTAAAAATATAAAACTACCAGTAGTGATAATAGTAAAAATACTAATAGTAGTAATACTAAAGTAGTAAAAATAATAATAGCAGTAATATTGAAAATATTAAAAATACTAATAGTAGTAATACTAAAAGTAGTAAAGACATTAATAGTAATAATACTAAAAATAGTAAAAACACTAATACTATTAATAAAAAAAGATAGTAAAAACACTAACAGTAAAATACTGATAGTAGTAAAAATACTAATGGTAGTAATACTATAAATAGTAAAAATACTAATAGTAATAATACCAAAGATAGTAAAAAAACACTAAAAGTAAAATTACTAATAGTATTAAAATAACTAATAGCATTAAAAATACTAATAGTATTAATTCTATTCGAATAATATTACTGATAGTAAAAATTCCAATAGTACCGATCCCGATAGTAAAATTTGAATTTAAGAACCGGGATAATAAAAAAACTTGTCAAGAACAACGACTTAATTACGTATGACATTTTGAAAACAGTGCGCCAATGTTCAGGATATAATTATAAAGTCATTTGTGTCTGCTTAGGTGCAAAAAAAAAATCGATCGGAAAAAGTTATTGCGATGTCTTTAAACGTTTGTAAATGGAATTATTTTTCTTCCTGATAGTTATCGAGAGCAACAAAAAAAGAAAGATAATTACAGACACAGAAACGATTATACTTCTCTCATCTGTTTCTTAATTTATTCTCCTTTTTAAAAAGTCTGATTAGAATTTTTTTTTCTTCAATTGTCATCCAACCTGTACATGAATTATTTATTCGAAAAATAGTTTCTATCTGCAATTTTTTTTTAATGATATGATAAATATAGATTACTGAAGAATAGGAAACTAACACTAATTTTCCTAAATTTTAGTAAAAAAAAAAAAAAATTTCCTAAATTTAATTTAATATTTATTATTCTGTAAATAAAATTTAGATAATATTTAAATATTTTTGTAATAATATTTAATGTTTTATAAATAATGTTTTATATTTAAATAATTAGTTCGTAATATTTAGATGTATGAAAATTTTCTTCTTTAAAAAGATAAAAAAAAATTTTTTTTACTTTACTTTTGTCAATAATGAGGTGTAATTTGTCAATCAGTGCAGTTTAGTGAGTTTATTAACGTTTGATTATGGGAAAGTTTTTAATTAAATTTTCAAAGTTGGACTCTTATGTATGGATGAGAGGATAATCGATTGAGAGATTGAATTTGGAATTGTTCATGTTTGCAGGTTTCAAAGAATTTGTAGATATTTCAAAGAGCGATAGAGAGAAAGAGAGAGAGAAAGAGAGAGAGATAAGGAGGAAACACTAAGAGCACTGTGTAGATAGAAGGCTTCGTTAATCGGATGAAAAAAAAGCAATTCAATTAGTTACTGGTTAGTTGAGAATTTCTTTCCTTCTCTAATAATTTTATGCAACTCGAACCAAAAAATTAACTTTTTTTCTCAAATTAATATATTCTACTGATTTTTTTTTATTTGTGAAAATTTTATTATTTTGTGGACGCTAAAAAAATAATTAAAATAAGTAAAAATATAAACAAATAAAAATAAATAATTAAAATAAATAATAAAATGAATAGTAAAAATAAATAATGAAATAAAGCAAAAAAAAAAAAAATAATAATAAAAATATAAAATATAAAATATAAATGAAGCAAAAACAAATAAATAGATAAAAAAAATTAAGAAATTAAATTTCAGTTTTTCAATAAAATTAGAAATGTTTGTTCAATTTTTCAAATTTCCGTTCTGGTGATTTTTTTCCTGTTTTTATAAATTACTTTCTGTTACAGTTCTTTATACTTGGGTTCACAATTTTTATTTTTATTTCCTTCTTTTTTTTATTCAAGTTCCTGTATTTTTATTGCGTTACAAATAGTAAAACGGTGAACATGTGTGTGAGTAAAAAGAGCCAATATTGTATTTTGAAAAGCAAAGAGATGAAAAACAGTTTTTTTTCTCTGTTTGTGTCATTCTGGATATTTTACCGTTTTTCGTGAGCAAAGGGTTTGCAATTTTGTATTTTCATTTTGTGCTTCACTTTGAATCGGAATTTTATTTTGTCACAGTCAAGTTTTCTACTAGGTGTGAAAATAATTTCTTTTTCGAAGAAAAATCGATGAAAAATGTTGAGTTCATTTTTAGAAATTTTTTTTTTCATTTTTTCATTCAAGCTCCGCTTGATCTACTTTTACTTTTATTGGCACTTTAGACTTTAACTTTCATTTTCACTTTAGAATTTAACTTTGACTTTGGATTCGTTTTCAACATTGATTTTGACTTTCATTTTCATTTTAGACTTTGGCTTTGACTTTCAATTTCATTTTAGACATTGGCTTTGATTTTCGATTCGGTTTTGAGTTTGACATTAAAGAATTTGACTTTGACTTTAAATTTAACTCTAAATTTAACTTTAAGTTAAATTAAAGTTAATTAATTTAACATTAAGTCAAAATTAATGTGAAATTGAAAGCCAAAGTCTTTAAAAGTCAACGTCAAACTCAATGTCAAAGATAAAGTTAAAGTCAAAGTCTTTATAGTCAATGTCAAAGTTAAAGCCAAAGTATTTAATGCCAATGTCAAAGTCAATGTCAGAGTTAAGGTTAAAATAATTAAAGTTAACGTCAAAGTCAATGTCAAAGTTTTTAAAGTCAAAGTTAAATTTAAAGTTAAAGGCAAAATTAAAGTCTTAGTTTAAGTCAGAGTTAAAGTCAAAGTTAAGTTCAAAGTCAAATTTATTTCAAAGTTAAAGTTAAGGTTAAAGTCAAAGTTCTTAAAGTCAAAGTTAAAGTTAAAGTTAAGGTCAAAGTCAAAGTTTAATTCAGAGTTGAAGTGAAAGTTAAGGTCAAAGTCAAGGTTAAAGTCAGAGTTACAGTCAAAGTTAATGTCAAAGTCAAAGTTAAAGCCAATTTCAAAGTCGAAACCAAATCTAAAGAAATCCAGGTCAACGTCAAAGTCAATGTCAAAGTTTTTATAGTCAAAGTTAAATTTAAACTTAAAGGCAAAATTAAAATCTAAGTTCAAGTCAAAGTTAAAGTCAGAGTTAAAGTTGAAGTTAAGTTCAAAGTCAAAGTTAAAGTCAGAGTTAAAGTTAAGTTCAAAGTCCTAGTTATTAAAGACAAAGTCCAAGTTTTAAAAGTCAAATTTAAATTCAAAGTTAAAGTTAAGGTCAAAGTCAAAGTTGAAGTCAGAGTTACAGTCAAAGTTAAAACCAATGTCAAAACCGAATCGAAGGTCAAAGTCAAGATTCAAAATAAAAGTTAAATTCAACGTCAAAGTCAAAATTCAAAGTCAAAGTCAAAGTCAAAGTCAAAGTCAAAGTCAAAGTCAAAGTCAAAGTCAAAGTCAAAGTCAAAGTCAAAGTCAAAGTCAAAGTCAAAGTCAAAGTCAAAGTCAAATTGAAAAATTAAAATTTGTTTCTCTGTAATAAAAATTACAAAGACTAAAAAACATACATTTTATTCTTTAAATTTTCGTCTCAAGTAAGAAATTTAGTTTTCAACTGTTCAACTTAAAAAATTTGTATAAATTTTTTTTTTTTTGAGGAAATAGAGTGTGGAAAAAAGTAGGGTATTAAATTGGAGAGATACAAAAAAAAGAAATAGGTACTCTACCGTATATTAAAATTATTCTCTTGGCACTAGATGAAAACTTGTTGACTCGTTCGGCTCACGTCTAAATCCTCAAGACTAACCAATATACTGGCAGATTGCAGAGCGTAGGGATCGATTTTATCGTTTATGGTGTAGGTCTCATTCACTGGATAATTCTCGATCATAGTTGAAGTTGAACTATTGTGCGAATCCCAATTATTTTTCGCGCCAGATTTTTCATTTCCAAGCCATTTCGTTGACATGTTCCAATAATCTGTTTCTGACGAGACATTAAATCTGATACTTCTAGAAAAAATTAATAATATCATGAAATATGATAATTATAATGTAAAAAAATAGGTTAAATATAATATAATACTCTCTAAATTTAAATTAGTGACTGACTTTTTACTTATGAATATTTATTAGTAAAATTTACTAATTCAAAAGCAAAAAGTAATTAATAAAATAGTAATTTCTACTAATTTTATAGTAGAATTTACTAAATCAAAAGCAAAATGTCATAAATAGTATTTTCTACTAATTTATTAGTGAAAGTTACTAATTAAAAAGCAAAAAATCATAAATGGTAATTTACTAAATTAAAAGCAAAAAGTCAAAAATAGTATTCTCTACTAATTTATTAGTAAAAGTTACTAAGTAAAAAGCAAAGTAATTTTTACTAATTTATTAGTAAAATTTACTAATTAAAAAGTTAGTCACTAATTAGAATTAGTAAACATTTTTACTAGTTAAAATTTAGAGAGTATATTCAGTCTAATTTTATTTAACTGTTAATAGGAAAAGAGAATATCAAAAATTCTTACTGTAGATAATTGGTATCCCTCGATTGGATTTGTTGGTGATTTTTGTTACTTCCGACCCGATTTGAAGCAGCACGCGATAATACTAATTCCACAGTTTCTGATGAACTTTGTAACAATTTAAGTGCATGATCATAACCGAGATTCATTAAAGTTTGACCATTTATTGCCACCACTCGATCGCCTGTTAAAATTAAGGGTTAAAGTTTACCGCCTGTTTGAAATTTACACCATATTCGGTGTATTTACTATAATTATTATGTACATGAAAAAAAGCTTTCCCTGAAACTTCGACAAATTTCTCTAGAATAGCGAAAGTTTTCATTCTTCCCTACAATTCAATTTCTTTCAAAAAATTTTAATAAAATTTTTGGCAAAATTTCAATTATTTTCCAAAATTTTCCTCAATTCAATGCTTTTCAATATCTACTTTTTTAATCAAAATTTTCCAAAAAATAATTCAATTATTTTGAAAAATAATAAAATTTTCACAGGAATTCAATTATTTTCATAAATAATAAAATTCGTCTCAGAATTTCAATTATTTTCAAAAATTTTAATAAAATTCTTGGCAAAATTTCAATTATTTTCAAAAATTTTCCTCAATTCAATGATTTTCAATATCTACTATTTTAATCAATTTTCCAAAAAGTAATAAAAATTTCTCAGAAATATTCAATTATTTACAATTTTTTTTATAAATTTCTTCGCAATAATTCAATTATTTTCAAAAATAATAAACTTTTTACAGGAGTTCCATTATTTTCATGAATAATAATAAATTTTTTTACACGGATTCAATTATTCTTATAAATAATAAAATTCGTCGCAGAATTTAAATTATTTTTAATACAATTTTAATCAAATTCCTCGAAAATTGTAATTATTTTTCAAAATTTTATTCAAATTCGTCTTCAAGAATTCAAATTATTTAAAAATTTGTTGATAAAAGTCTTTATGAAAATTGAATTTTAAGAAACATTCAATTATTAACTAATTTTTTTTTTGCATTTAAATAATTTAATTTTCGTAGAATTTTGTAATGAAAATTGATTTAAAAATGAATTTTAGATAAAAACACTAAAAAAATTGAATTATTTCCAAAAGTATTAAAATTTTTTGCAAAAATTCAATTATTCTCAATTAAAATTAAAATTAAATTAATTGAATTCATCAAAATTAAAATTCTCTATTAAAATTCAATTATTTTCAAATGCATTAAAAAAATCTTCACGAAAATTCAATTATTTTCAAAAACTTTAATAAAATTCTTGGAAAATTTCAATTATTTTCCAAATTTTCCCTCCATCCAACGTTCTTCAAAATCTACTATTTTCATAAAATTTTCCAAAAGAATTCAATTATTTAAAACTATTTTTGATAAAATTCTACGCAAACATTTAAATATTTTCATAAATAATAAAAACTTTTACAGAAATTCAATGATTTACAAATTTCTCCTAATTTTCTTCGCAATAATTCAATTAATTTCTTAAATAGTAATAATTTTACAGGAATTCAATTATTTACAAATTTTTCATAAATTTTTTTGCAATAATTCAATTATTTTCATGAATAATAAAAATTTTACACGACTTTAATTATTTATAAATTTATCATAAATTTCTTTGCAATAATTCAATTATTTTCTTAAATAGTAATAATTTTACAGGAATTTAATTATTTACAAGTTTTTCATAAAGTTTTTTGCAAACATTTAATTATTTCCATAAATAAAAAAAGTTTTACAGAAATTCAATTATTTACAAATTTTTCATAAACTTCTTCGCAATAATTCAATTATTCTCTTAAATAACAGAAATTCCAAAGGAATTCAATTATTTTCTTAAATAATAGAAATTCTACAGGAATTCAATTATTTTCTTAAATAGTAGAAATTCCACAGGAATTCAATTATTTTCTTAAATAATAGAAATTTCCCAGGAATTCAATTATATTTACAAATTTTTTATAAATTTCTTGGCAATAATTCAATTATTTTTATAAATAATAAAATTCTTTATAGAAATTTAATTATTTTCAAAAGTTTTAATAACTTTCAATTATTTAATAAATTATTCATTATTTTTGAATTTAAATAATTGAATTCTCGTAGAATTTTCTAATAAAAAAATTGATTTAAAAATGAATTTTAGTTGAAATTTTCGATTAGAATTGAAGATTAAAAGCATTATAGCATGAATTTTTTGTTAGAAATAATTGAATTTCGAAAAAGTTTCAAATTAAAATCGGTGGAAATATTAATTTTTCATACTTTTACTATTTACTAAATAAATTTACTAGTAAATAGTTTACTATTTACTAAATAAATTTACTAGTAAATAGTAAATAGTTTACTATTTACTAAATAAATTTACTAGTAAATAGTAAATAGTTTACTATTTACTATGTTTACTATTTACTAAATAAATTTACAAGTAAATAGTTTACTATTTACTAAATAAATTTACTAGTAAATAGTAAATAATAAATAGTAAAAAGTTGAATTTTAAATCTAACGAAAACAAAATGTGGTTGTTTGAAACAATCTTTCTTTCTCGTGTTTAGACGTTGCAGAGGTAAAGCTTTTTTTTATACGTACGAACAGTTCTATATACTCGACAGTAAAACTATATTTTATATATCTAAATCTATACCTGTCCATATCAAAATTTATATGGATGTATATAACTTGGAGGAAACTTTAGTTTTATACCTTTGTTTACGTTACCAGCCATATCGGCCGATCCACCAACGGAAACGGCTTGGACATAAACTCCTCCATCGTTTCCCTCGGTCACTTGCAATCCAATACTCCCTCCATTACCGCGTTCAAGTTTTATCACATGAAGTATTCGCTCTTCAGTGAAAGACATTTCCTCAAATCGGGCCACCAACGATGATGACATTGTCTCTTCGTCATGTATTCGAAAGGTCTCGTTCGCCGATCTTATGTCCGCATCTGTAAAGAATTTCATTTTTCTTCTTATCTACTTATTTCATTCGAATATAGAAAATGGGTGAAATTTTTCTTCCTTACGAGTAAAAAAGTAACTGTATTAAATTGTTTTTTATTTCTCTTCTTGGTTTTTTGGCAAAATTTTCATAAATAAAATTATAAAACTACGAAAATTACAAACAAATTGGGATTCAATATGGAAGTGTTGTTCTCCACCTGAGAACGCCAAGGTCACCGATAGATGGCAGTTTCGTTCTTGGAATTTATTTATTTCTTGGAATTTCTCCTGCCACCTGGTGGCGACCTTGGCGTTCTCAGGTGGAGAAATTGGATTTTCTTTTTAATTTAAACATTTCAGGTTTCGTACTCGATAATTAATTTTAAAAAAGTAGTTTAAAGACAGAAAAAACAGTAGTAAAAAGTAGCTATCGAAAAACTAAACTTAAATCAATTTTTTTATAATTTCTTAATTCGATTCAAAAATAGAATAATTTTTTAAAATAAATATTTAAATACCGAATTTATTTTGTCTTTAGGAATTAAAATATTTCAAATGATTTCAATGTTTTTTTTTATAATTTCTTAATTAGATTCAAAAATAGAATAATTTTTAAAATAAATATTTAAATACCGAATTTATTTTTTCTACAAGAATTAAAATATTTTAAATAATTTCAATGTAACGCATTTTTGAAATTTAACTATTTCTAAAAATTACAAAATTAATTCTTTCAGAATTCAATCATTATTTTTTTGTTGAAATTTATTTATATAAATAAAATTATTCAAAACTTTAATCATTTTATTTTATTCAATTCTAAATCAATTCTTATTAGAAAGTTCTACGAGAATAAAATTATTTAAATACAAAAATAAATAACTCATTGAATAATTGAATATATGTATTTTTTAAATTTGAATTCTTATAAAGAACTTTATCAACATTTTATAAAATAATTTAATTTTTACGAAGAATTGCATTAAAATTTTTGATAATAATTAAATTCATTCAAGAAATGTGATTAAAAATGAATTGAAAATAATTATTACACTTTAATTAAATCATTTAAAATTGTATTAAAAATAATTGAAATCCTACGATGAGTTTCAAAATTTATAAAAATAATTGAATTTTTGAAACGATTATTATTACATTTTTTTTAAATAATTGAATTCTTGAGAAGAATTTTATAAAAATCTATTTAAATAATTAATTTTTTTTGCTAAAAACATTAAGAAATTCAATTATTTTTAAACAAAATTTTAATAACATTTCACGAACAAATACAATTAATTTCTAAAATAATTTTAATATGTCCTCCGAAATAATTCAATTATTTTTTTAAATTATTAAAATATTTGCAAAAATTCAATTATTTTCAAAAAAAATTTCACGTAAGAATTCAATTGTTTTTAATTCGTTACAAAATCTTTGCAAACATTTAATTATTTTCAAAAAAATTTCTTGAAAGAATTCAAATTTTTTTCTTAATTCGTTATAAAAATTTTTCAAAAGAATTCAATTACTTCTTAAAATTTTAATAAAATCCAACAATTAAATGTTTAATTTCAAATTTTAAAAACTTGAAAGAAATTGTTCATAAAATTCAATTATTTTCAAAATTTTTAATTAAAATTATTAAAGAAATTCCATTATTTTAAAAGAAATTCAAAGAAATTCTTCAAAAAGAATTTAATTAGAATTTTCAAAAATTTTAATAAAATCGTTCGCTAGAATTCAATTATTTTTACAAATAATAAAATTTTTCACACGAATTCAATTATTTAAAAATATTTAATAAAATCTTTGCAAAAATTCAATTATTTTCATAAATAAGACTAAAATTCTTGACAGGATTTCAATATTTTTAATACAATTTTAATTGAATTGAATAAATGTAATAAATAAATAAATAAATAAATAAATTTTTTAAAGTAATTGAATTATTCTATTAAATCTTTATAAAATGATTCAAAAAATTCAATTATTTAAAAAAATTGTAATCCTTTGCAAGAATTTAATTATTTTTAAAAATAATAACAGTTTTCCCTGGAATTCAATTATTAAAAAAAAATTTAATTAAATCGTTGCAAGAATCCAAATATTTTCTTCATAAATTGTAAAATTCTTAAAAGGATTTCAATTATTTTTAAAACAATTTAAAATAATTTTCTCGAAAAATGTAATTATTTGCAAAAATTTTATTAAAATTCTTCAAAAGAAATAAATTATTTATAAAAAAATTTAATAAAATTTTTTATGAGAATTTAATTTTAAATGATAATTAATTCTTCTAAGAATTATTTGTTTCTGTTTTTAAATAATTGAATTCTCGCTGAGCATTCTAATAAGAATTTTATTTATTTAAAATTTTCTTTTAGTTGAAATTTTATCGACTAATAATTCAAATTCTTCTCAAATTAGTTAAATTTTTTAATATATATTTAATTAGTTATTAAAAATAATGGATTTATAGAAGAATTTTAGTTAAAAACACTTAAAAAAAATTGAATTTTGGAAATGTTAATTATTAGTATTTTTATTAATTATTAGTATTTTTTCTAATTATTAGTATTTTTATTAATTATTAGTATTTTTATTAATTATTAGTATTTTTACTAATTATTAGTATTTTTATTAATTATTTGTATTTTTACTAATTATTAGTATTTTTATTAATTATTTGTATTTTTACTAATTATTTAGTAATTTCAACTAAATTTTAGTAAAAAATAGATCAAATCTATTTCGAAAGCAGTAAAAGTTTTTTTTTTTAATTTTAAGTTGATTAATTTTATTTTAAAGTTACTTTTTTAATTACCTCTACTGTACATTTGTACAGTAAACCAAATATGTGCGAAATAAAAAGAAAAATTTACACTCTATAGGTAACTAATCGATTATTTCTCTCGTGTATTCCATTTGCTTCAAAAATCGATAGCTGAGAATTAGTGAATTCAATTGTTGAATAGGAAAAGAAAATTTTTGAAAAAAGTCAAAAAAGTAAAAAATAAGTAGGAAGTGCATTGATTATTTTTTGAATACGCGGTAATTTTGAATGGAGAACGTACTTAGAACATAAGCTTCCGGCAATGGTGACTCGACCGATCGTGCGGGCGTTGATTGCATCGACGAAGCTGTGTCTGATTTCAGGGAAAGTGATTCCAAATCGTCGGCAAGAGAGGCATCCTTCTGCGACATATTGCTGCTGCTGTAAATAGCGCGAGTTCCCATTTTCACCCCCAAACGTCGTGGTAAACTCGGCGTTCGAAATCCACTCGATTGCCTTGATTTTGGCGTTCCATAATTTGGTAAACTCGATGTTTTTGCCTGGAAGAAAGTTTTCTTTATTATTATCAAAAAGTCAATGAAACAAAAATTTTTTTTAAATTCATGAATATGGAGAAAAGTTTGTTTTTAATTTCAAAAAATTTTAAAAAACACTTCAAAATAAATTTATTGATTTTCAAAAAATGTTTATAAAATTCTTCCAAATAATTCAAATACTTTCAAAACTTTTAATAAAATTCTTTGAAACATTCAATTATTTTTAGAAATTTTAATAAAATTCGTCACAAGAATTCAATTATTATTTTCGTAAATAATACAATTCTTCGAAAAAATTCAATTACAAACAATTCAATTAGTTTTAAAAATTTTAATTAATGTAACCATTTATAAAAATTCAATTATTTTGAATATAATTTCAATTAAATTTTTTAAGCAATTCAATTATTTTTAAAACAATGCAATTCTTCGTAGAATTTGAATACATTTAATTAAATTTTAATAAAATTTCTTAAGAGAATTGAATTACTTTTAAATAATTGTAATAATAATAATTTTAATTTTATGAAAAATGTTCTAAAAAATTCAATTATTTTAAAACATTTTAATAATATTTTTCATAACAATTATTCAATTATTTTCAAAACCTTTAATAAAATTTTACCCAAGAATTCAATTATTTTACACAATTTTAGTGCAATTCATCTGAAGAATTCAATTATTTGTTAAATGAACAAAATTATTTACATGAAGTCAATTATTTTTATAAATAATAATATAATTCTTCGCTGGAATTCAATTATTTTCCAAATTTTTATAAAAATTCTTTGCAAAAATTCGTATTTTTTTATAAATAATAAAATTCTTCGAAACAATTTAATTATTTTTATAAATATTGTCAAAAATTTTAATAAAATGAATTGAAAGAATTTGAATTTTTTTAATAAATAATAAAATTCTTTGCTAGAATTCAATTATTTTTAGCACAATTTTGAGAAATTTTTTATAAAAATTTAATTATTTAAAAAAAATTTTCAGAAACCCTTTATAAGAATTTAATTATTTTTAAGACGATTTTATTTTAATTCTTCGAAAAAATTTAATTATTGGCCAAATAATTCAATTTTTTACTGGATTTTAATAAATTTAATGCAATTTTAATAAAATTTCTCGAACGATTCAATTATTTTTACAAAGTTTGAATACAATTTTTTTGCATAAATTCAATTATTTTTATAAATATTAAATTATTTGAAAGAATTCAATTATTTTCAAAATATTCAATAAAATTCTTTACAGAAATTCCAATATTTTTTAAAATAATGAAATTCATGTAAATTCAATTATTTTCGTAATTATTACAATTCTTTGAAAGAATTTAATTACAAGCAATCAAATTATTGTAAAAAATTTTAATGTAACCCTTAATAAAAATTCAATTATTTTCAATATAATTTCAATTAAATTCTTCGAAGCAATTCAATAATTTTTTAAATAATATAAATCTTCATAGGATTTTAATAACTTGAATATAAATTTAATAAAATTTCTTGAACAATTTAATTATTTCAAAACTTTAATTAAATTCTTCGAAGCAATTCAATTATTTTGTAAAATTTGGATGAAATACTTTAAGAAAATTCAATTATTTTCAATAAACAATTAAATTATTTTTTAAATAATACAATTTCTTCATAGGATTTTAATAAATTTAATACAATTTTAATAAAAATTCTTAAACTATTCAATTATTTTTAAAAACTTAAATTACATTTTTTGAAGGAATTATTTTCAATATAATTTCAATTAAATTCTTCAAAGCAATTCAATTATTTTGTAGAATTTTGATGAAATACTTTATAAGAATTCAATTATTTTGAATATATTTTTAATTAAATTCATTGAAACAATTAAATTATTTTTGAATTTTTACAATTCTTCATAGGATTTTAATAAGTTTAATACAATTTTAATAAAAATTCTTAAACGATTCAATTAGTTTACAAAACTTGAATTAAATTCTTCGAAACAATTCAATTATTTTGTAAAATTTTTATGAAATACTTAATAAGAATTCAATTATTTTGAATATAATTTTAATTAAATTCATCGAAATAATCAAACTATTTTTTAAATAATACAATTCTTCATAGGATTTTAATAAATTTTTATTCAATTTTAATGAAAGTTTTTAAACGATTCAATTATTTGAAAAAACTTGAATTAAATTCTTCGAACCAATTCAATTATTTGAAAAAACTTGAATTAAATTCTTCGAACCAATTCAATTATTTTAAAAAACTTGAATTAAATTCTTCGAAACAATTAAATTATTTTAGAAAAATTTAATGAAATACTTTATAAGAATTGAATTATTTTTAACAAAAACGTTATCTTTTAAAATTGAAAGAAATTAAAAGAAGGAAAAAAATGCAAGGAATGCTTTCCGAAAATTTCCCAAAAGTTATTAAGTAAAAAAAAAAGAAAAAAAGAAAGCAACCTTGTTCAATGACTCCTTAATATCCGACACGTCCCAAACTTCATCAGGAACAGGAAGTGAATCCTTCTTGGGCGTACGATTTTTATTAACAGCTGCATAAATATCCTCGGGTTTTTCTGATTTCACTTCGAGTCGTTCAATTGCACTCGAGTAAATTAACTTTGGAATGCAATAAACGTATTCTTCATTGTGCGCGCGGCCAACATTCGCGTAACCATAGATTTGATCCTCAATGGCTGAAAGGACTTTTGGTCCATTCAAAATTCTCGATATTGCCTGATTCCTCATCGCCGCCGAATCCGATTCATCTTCCGTGTCACGTGACTCGCCTTCCGGTTCAAGGCGCGTATTCACCTGAGCGTAGAGAACGTCCTCCTCTGGCGAGGAACAAATCGGCGACGTCACTTGGTTGTTACCCTCTTGCCAGTTACATAAATCCTTCTCTGGATTCTCGTTCTCCTTATTCTGATACTCCTCCAATTGAAATGGATACTTTAATCTTGAATCGGGCTCCTCTTGTTTCTTTATTGAATTTGCTATCGAGATTTTTGTTTTTCCACTCTCTGACTTTGCCTTTGGGGAATTTGGCTCGATCACCAATGGAACGCCGAAATCTGAAAATTTTGAGAAGTAAAGTTTTTAGTCGTATTTTTTTTCTATTTTTCTTCGGATTTATTTATGCACTGGAAAAAATTATTTTTCAGAAAACAACGATTTTTCTACACTGAGAAAACGATTTATTTGATGAAAAGAAATTTTGTTTAAATTCAGGGCTCGGATTGTGCGACTTTTTCGACTTTTTTCGACTTTTCTAAGGAAATATGACTTTTTTCGATTTTTTTGTAAAAAAATGCGACTAATCGACTTTTTCAAAATTTTTTTTAGTAAAATGCGACTGAAATTAAAATTTTTTTTTTTTAAATTCAAAGAAAAAAGTTTGAGTCAAAAAAATGTTCTGTTACATTTATTTACAAATTTCTTTCAAATTTTTCGAAAACATCAATAATTTCTTTTTTAAATAAATATTTAATTATTATTTTTCCATAGGAATTAAAATTTTTCAAAAGATTCAAATTCAAACCTTTTTGAAATTAAACAACTTATAAAAAATATGTTATAAAACATGAAGAAATCGATCACTCCGAGTCTTCGACTCGAAGCAATCGATGTCTTCATGTTTTATAATAATTAAAGATGACCGAGTGATAAAATCATTATATTTTATATTATAAGACTTTATAAAAAAAAATTTTTAATTATTTTTTATGAAAATATATGAATTATTGGGAACAAATTTATAAAACATTTGTAAGTAATTGAATTTTGCAGAATAATTTTGATATTTACAAAGATAATTGAAATTTTGAGGGGAATTTCAAAAAAAAATTCGGAAAATAATTGAATTTCTGTGAAGAATTTTTTTACTTTTGAACATAATTGAATTTTGCAAAGAATTTTAACAGAACTTTTGAAAATAATTAAATTTCCAAGATGAATTTTATTATTTATGAAGATAATTAAAATTTCGACGAAAAATTTAAAAAAAAAAATAAAAAATAATTGAATTTCGAGGATGAATTTTATTAATTTTGAACATAATTGAATTTCTAGAATGAATTTTATTATTTATAAAGATAATTTAACTTTTGATAAGAATTATATTAAAATTTTTGCAAATAATTGAATTTCAGAAAAGAATTTTATTACTCTCAAAGATAATTGAAATTTTGAACAGATTTTTTAAAAAATGTTTAAAAGTAATTGAATTTTGATATTTATAAAAATAATTGAAATTTTGAAAATAATTTAATTTCTGCCAAGAATTTTATTACTTTTGAAAATAATTGAATTTCTAGGATGAATTTTATTAAAATTCTTTGCAAATAATTGAATTTCAGAGAAGAGTGTTATTATTCACAAAGATAATTGAAATTTTGAACAGATTTTTTTTTTAAAATGTTTAAAAGAAATTGAATTTTGCAGAAGAATTTTGATATTTATAAAAATAATTGAAATTTTGAGGAGAATTTAAAAAAAAATTTTGAAAATAATTGAATTTCTGTAAAAAATTTTCTTACTTTTGAAGATAATTGAATTTTGCAAAGAATTTTAACAGAACTTTTGAAAATAATTGAATTTCCAGGATGAATTTTATTATTTATAAAATTTTGAATATAATTGAATATCTGCGAAGAATTTTATTACTTTTGAAAATAATTAAATTTTAGAGAAGAATTTTATTAAAAATTTTTTTTCAAATAATTGAATTTCGGAGAAGAAATTTATTATTTATAAAAATAATTGACATTTTAAAAAGAATTTAAAAAAAAAATGTTAAAAATACGTAATTAAAATTTAGCAATGAATTTTATTAAATTTTTTAAAATTTTATTCCGAATTGTTTGATACTAATGTATTTGTTGTCGAGAAATGTGATTTTCTTTACAATTTTGACAATTTTGTGTTTCTCTTTGTCGTTTTTTTTATTTTTTTCTAAGATTTCATGCGACTTTTTTTCGACTTTTTCGGAAATTTAATTTGTGCGACTTTTCGTGACTTTTGTTGTAAATTTATGCGACTAAAGCGACTTTTTTTGAGTCTTAAAGAAGATCCAAGCCCTGTAAATCAAACTTAAAATATCTTTACTATACAGCGTGAGCTACAGTAAAAAAAAATTATTTTATTCATTTCATCCAATTTTCAAAACTATTTTGAATGCTAATTTTTGTAAAAAAAATTATTAAAATTTTCCTCGAACATAGTGCAATTAGCCATTAAAAATTGTCATTTCCAAAGTATAAATTTTTCTAATTTTTATAAAGAAAGTTTCTTTGGAAATAGTAAAAATTATTCTAGAGACAACAAATTTTAATAGACAATTTTTCTGCTTTTTGCAGGAAATTTTACCAAGTTCAAACAGTAAATTTTACTAATTTTTTTACTGCAATTTACTTCGGATATAGTAAATTTCATGGAATTTTAAAACAAAAATAGCATTATAACAAAAAATTTGATTCTCAATTTTACTTAATTTGAAAAATTAACTTTTTAAAAATTAAAATCCTCTTTACTACCTAATATCTATTTATTACATAGACGAGATATTACATAGAAAAGTCACTATCATACCTGAAATTATGTTTGATAAATTTATAAATTATTATAATTATAGATAGTTTCACAATAATAATAATAATAATTCAATTTTAATTTTTTTGATAATTTTAAACTTTAATGTGATTATAAAATATTCCCTTTTCTATTTGTTTCATGTAAGCTAAACAACGTGCTTCCTGTCAAGTTTATTTCGTGAGTAATTATAAAAATATATAATAATTATATGTTTTTAACGGTATGCCATATAATAAGTATAAAATTTAATTAACAAAGGAATGAACTAAAAATTTTGATTCCATTGGCTTGGTTAATTAAATTGAAAGAAAATTTTTGAAAATATCCTCTTTATAAAAAATTCAAATTCATATTTTTTACATAAATATTACATGAAGAAATCCCTGCTGAAAATTTGGAAAAGATTGCAAAAACAGTTGTAATTTTCAGAGATAATTGAATTTCAGAAAATTTTAAACTAAGAATTTAGAAAAATTTTAATTGCTGACAAGAAAAATTAATAAATAATTCAGAGATTTATTGAAATATTCATTTAACTTTTAAATAATTTTTAATAAAATTCTGAAAAATTTAGATTTCTGAGAAATTTTCATTCAATTTTTTTCTAAAGATATTTTATTTAAATTTTTAAAAACATTTATAAAATAGTTAATAATCAATTTGAAATTTTGTTCAATTGAATTTAAAATAATTAAATTTGTTAAAGAATTTTATTTGAGATTAAAAAAGTGAATTTTAAAAGATAATTGAATTGCTATAATCAAGTAATTGACAATTTTTTAAATAATTGAAATTTCCTAAAATTTCACTAAAAATAATTGTATTTTTTGAGAATTTTATATTAAAATTTGTTGGCATAATTGAAATTAGGTGTTTATACATAATATTATACATTAAAAATAATAAAATTTGTAAAGAATTTTTTGAATATTTTCCAAATAATGGAAATTTTTAAAAATTCCTTTTAAATAATACAATTTTCAAAGAAATTTTGAAGTAATTGAATTTTTCCTAAATTCGATTAAAAATAATTGAATTTTCAAAGAAATTTTGAAATAATTGAATTTTTCCTAAATTCGATTAAAAATAATTGAATTTTTAATTACCTTTATTAAAATTTGCTAAAAATAATTGAATTCTATAAGAATTTTTAAAATAATTTAAAATTTAAAATTCCATTGAAAATAATTGAATTTTTTGAAACATTTTGAAGTAATTGAATGTTTCTAAAACTTTACTAAAAAAATTGAATGTTTAATACAATTCTATTAAAAGTAATTAAATGTTTAAAGAATTTTATTGAAAATTTTTGAAATAATTGAAATTTTCTAAAATTTTATTTAAAATAATTGAATTCTTTGACAATTTTTTTAAATAATTGAAAACATTCTAAAAATAATTGAATTTTTTGAAAACTTTTGAAATAATTGAAAATTTCTTAAAAATCCATTAAAAATATTTAAATTTTTACATTATTGTGTCAAGAAATTTTAAAATAATTAAATTTTTTTAAAATGCAATAAAAAAGAATTGAATTCTAAAAGAAGTTTTTGAAATAATTGAATGTTTTTATAACTTTATAGAAAAAAATTGAACTTTTTAAGTATTTTATTCTGAATATTTAAAATAATGTAAAGTTTCAAAAAGTTGTATTAAAAATAATTGATGTTGGTTGATGAAGTCGAAATCTTCTTTTATAAAAATAATTGAATTCTTTGACAATTTTTGAAATAATTGAAAATTTTCCAATAAATCTATTAAAATATTTGAATTTTTACAGAATTGTGTCAAGAATTTTTTAAAAAATTAAATTTTTTTTAAAAACTATTAAAAACAATTGAATTGTAAAAGAAGTTTTAGAACATTTTTGAAAGAATTGAAAGTTTAAAAAAGTTCCATAAAAAATTATTGAATTTTCAAAGAATTTTTTAAGGATTTACTTAAAAATCCTTTAAAAATAATTGAATTATGAAAAAAATTCTCTAAATACTAGAAATATTTTAAAATTGTCACTAATTAAATTAATTGAATTTTTAAAAAAATTTATTGATTTATTTTTGAAATAATATGAATTTAAAATAATTGCAAATCATTTTCAATAATTAATTTTTCAATAATAATAATAATTTCCTAATAATGAAAAGTACTGAGAGAAAACAAATAATTTACAATTTAATGTACCGAAAACAATAAAAATTAATAATGAGATTTGCGAATATAATTTATATTTCATCAGCAACTTTTTGAATGGGATAATTCCTATTGTAATTGAATTTAACTTGCGATATTAATCAAATGTAATTAAAATTTAATTTATTAAATTTAATAATAAATAATCTCAAGTGAAAATCTTTTGTAAAATATCTCTCGCATAAATAAATGATCATAAAATTATTAAAGTTTAAAACTTTTCTGAAATTCAAGGTACATTATTCGCTTTTTCTTTTTTTGTTCTTTTGAAAAACGAGAGCGAATCAATGAAGGATGTTTTATCGATACACTTGAACTGTTTTTCGTTAGTAAAAAAAAAAGAAAAAAAAAGAAAAAAAATTTCCGGATATTTACTATCAAAGTTACTTTGTAAATAACGGTAAATCTTTATTGCAATCACCTTTTGCTAGTCCTTGAAGAGAAGATATCTCCGATCGAAGTTTGAGAAAGAACTGATGGTGTAGAGACGTCAGTTTGAAAGCAAAATAACTCCTGCAATGAAAAATTATTTTCTTTTAAAGTTCTGCTGTATAGAGAAAGAGAGAAAGAATAAAAAATAGGACTTGAATTTATTTTCGGGCAAATAGATCAAGGTGGGTGTAAAGTTTCCTTCTTTTTTTTTTTTTTTTTTTTTTTTTTTTTTATTTTGGGAAATTCCACATTTGAGGGTGAATCGCGATAAAATGTAAGTGCATTGAGGATTACTCTGTACAGTATATATGTATGTGTGTACTTTGTGCACAAACATTGATCTATGTTTGCTTAGCCGGCTTTATTTCCGCAAGAAACTTTGCTTTATCCAGAGACTGATAGGACTAAAGTTTGTTTTCTTTTTTTATTTATTTTTTTCTAGACATCAATTTTAAAATAAAGCTGTTTGAAACTTTTCTTTATTCACGGTAATTTCTCGAGCAAAAATTTGTTGTATATAGAAATATTAGTTCTTCATTCTTTATGGAAAAAATTTTTTACAGAGAAAAAAAAAGTTTAAATACCTTCTTACTATTAAAAATTGAAGTAATTATGAAAAATAGAAAATTAAGTACAAAGATTGAGTCAAACTATTACTAAAGAACATAAATTTAATAGTTTCGGTAAAAACTACATTTTATGTTTTACATATAATAATTTAGGTCCTAAATTACTAAATTATCGTAAATTTTAGTAGTTGTAGGTCAGTTTATGAGTTTCGATCGCGAGTGAAGCTCGGTGAAGCTAGCGAACCGCCAGCCGTCAGCCATCAGAAGAATCCATAGGCGTCGCAACGCACAGCATTTACGCGTATCTGATAGCAAACGGGTAGAGCTGCTGGCTATTTACATTTATTTTAAAAACTTTTTATGATGTGGTATTTAAAGGAGAATAATCCAGCAACAATTTAGTACAAAAGAAAAATTGTTTGGTAAATAATTAAAGAACTAATAAATTTTTTTTGAAAAAAATCACAATTTTTGCGTTTCTGGTGGCGGGCGGGTGGAGCTGCTGGCTTTATAATTTAATTTTAAAAATTTTCTATAATACGGTTTTGGAAGGGAAACAATTTAGCAACAATTTAGTACAAAAAAAAATTCCTTTGAACAAAAATTAAAAAAGTTATGATTTTTTTTTGAAAAAAATCACAATTTTTGCTTTTCTGATGGCGGGCGGGTGGAGCTGCTGGCAATTTAATTTCATTTTAAAAATTTGTCATCATATCGTTTTAAAAGGGGAACAATTTAGCAACAATTAAGTACAAAAGAAAATTTTTTTGAACAAAAATTAAAGAACTTATATATTTTTTTTGAAAAAAATCACAGTTTTTGCTTTTCTGATGGCGGGCGGGTGGAGCTGCTGGCAATTTAATTTCATTTTAAAAATTTGTCATCATATGGTTTTGAAAGGGGAACAAATTAGCAACAATTTAGTACAAAAGAAAATTCTTTTGAACAAAAATTAAAGAAGTTATGATTTTTTTTGAAAAAAATAACAATTTTTGCTTTTCTGATGGCGGGCGGGTGGAGCTGCTGGCAATTTAATTTCATTTTAAAAAATTGTTATCATATGGTTTTGAAAGGGAAACAAATTAGCAACAATTTCGTACAAAAAAAAATTTTTTTGAACAAAAATTAAAAACGTTATGATTTTTTTTTTGAAAAAAATCACAATTTTTGCTTTTCTGATGGCGGGCGGGTGGAGCTGCTGTCAATTTAATTTCATTTTAAAAATTTGTCATCATATGGTATTAAAAGGGGAACAATTTATCAACAATTTAGTACAAAAGAAAATTTTTTTGAACAAAAATTAAAGAAGTTATGATTTTTTTTTGAAAAAAATCACAATTTTTGCTTTTCTGATGGCGAGCGGGTGGAGCTGCTGGCAATTTAATTTCATTTTAAAAATTTGTCATCATATGGTATTAAAAGGGGAACAATTTATCAACAATTTAGTACAAAAGAAAATTTTTTTGAACAAAAATTAAAAAAGTTATGATTTTTTTTGAAAAAAATCACAGTTTTTGCTTTTCTGATGGCGGGCGGGTGGAGCTGCTGGCAATTTAATTTCATTTTAAAAATTTGTCATCATATGGTATTAAAAGGGGAACAATTTATCAACAATTTAGTACAAAAGAAAATTTTTTTGAACAAAAATTAAAGAACTTATATATTTTTTTTGAAAAAAATCACAGTTTTTGCTTTTCTGATGGCGGGCGGGTGGAGCTGCTGGCAATTTAATTTCATTTTAAAAATTTGTCATCATATAGTTTTGAAAGGGAAACAATTTAGCAACAATTTAGTACAAAAGAAAATTCCTTTGAACAAAAATTAAAAAAGTTATGATTTTTTTTTGAAAAAAATCACAATTTTTGCTTTTCTGATGGCGGGCGGGTGGAGCTGCTGGCAATTTAATTTCATTTTAAAAATTTGTCATAATATGGTTTTGAAAGGAGAACAATTTAGCAACAATTTAGTACAAAAGAAAATTCTTTTGAACAAAAATTAAAGAAGTTATGATTTTTTTTGAAAAAAATAACAATTTTTGCTTTTCTGATGGCGGGCGGGTGGAGCTGCTGGCAATTTAATTTCATTTTAAAAAATTGTTATCGTATGGTTTTGAAAGGGAAACAAATTAGCAACAATTTCGTACAAAAAAAAATTTTTTTGAACAAAAATTAAAAACGTTATGATTTTTTTTTGAAAAAAATCACAATTTTTGCTTTTCTGATGGCGGGCGGGTGGAGCTGCGGGCAATTTAATTTCATTTTAAAAATTTGTCATCATATGGTTTTGAAAGGGGAACAAATTAGCAACAATTTAGTACAAAAGAAAATTCTTTTGAACAAAAATTAAAGAAGTTATGATTTTTTTTGAAAAAAATAACAATTTTTGCTTTTCTGATGGCGGGCGGGTGGAGCTGCTGGCAATGTAATTTCATTTTAAAAATTTTTCATAATATGGTTTTGAAAGGAGAACAATTTAGCAACAATTAAGTAGAAAAGAAAATTTTTTTGAACAAAAATTAAAGAAGTTATGATTTTTTTTGAAAAAAATAACAATTTTTGCTTTTCTGATGGCGGGCGGGTGGAGCTGCTGGCAATTTAATTTCATTTTAAAAATTTGTCATCATATAGTTTTGAAAGGGAAACAATTTAGCAACAATTTAGTACAAAAGAAAATTTTTTTAAACAAAAAGTAAAGAAGTTATTATTTTTTTTGAAAAAAATAACAATTTTTGCTTTTCTGATGGCGGGCGGGTGGAGCTGCTGGCAATTTAATTTCATTTTAAAAATTTGTCATCATATAGTTTTGAAAGGGAAACAATTTAGCAACAATTTAGTACAAAAGAAAATTCCTTTGAACAAAAATTAAAAAAGTTATGATTTTTTTTTGAAAAAAATCACAATTTTTGCTTTTCTGATGGCGGGCGGGTGGTGCTGCTATCAATTTAATTTCATTTTAAAAATTTGTCATCATATGGTTTCGAAAGGGGAACAAATTAGCAACAATTTCGTACAAAAAAAAATTTTTTTGAACAAATATTAAAAAAGTTATGATTTTTTTTGAAAAAAATCACAATTTTTGCTTTTCTGATGGCGGGCGGGTGGAGCTGCCCAATGGGAAATGCCAGTGTAGTGCCGATGTTCACCACTGGCTTAGTACTCAGACGATTGTTCGGCGTAGTCTAGCCGAGCCTCGACAATTAGTGCTGGCTCAGTACAGAATTTTTGTTTCGCCAAAGCTTGGACAAGCCACGGCGGCAAGTGCTGGCTGAGTATAGAAAAATTGTTCACAACGCTCTTTGCCAACATTGCTTTTTTGACATAAACTTGAAAAAAATTATAAAAAAAGTTTATGAATGTTTATAAATATAAATTTATTGAAAAAAATTAATATTTTACTTTTCAGTTGTTCATTTTTTATTCTTATTAAATTTAATAATAACAATTTAACACAATTTTCTAATTTTGTAAATAATAAATTATTTAAACAAATTAAAATTATAAACAAAATTTAAACTTTAATCTCAATAATAATTTGGTTCCTATTAAAATACTATTATACTTCTTACTATGAATAAAAAATTATTAAAAAATTACCACGTAATTTAAGAATTACGTAAAATGTTAAATGCAATAAGTAAAGTAATTTAATTTAATTTTTAAAAATTTAGTTTAATTTATTTTATTTCAATTTATTATTTCTAACGTGTCCCAATTTTTTTCTCATCTTTGACTCAATAATTGTATGTCTGAATGATACTGAGATATTAATAATTTACTGTACACATGTGTCGTTAGCATAGTGGTTAGAGCGTTAGTCTGTTAGTCCGTAGGTCGTAGGTTCGATTCCCCTCGTCAGCAATTTTGTTTATTTTCATAGGTTTGCGATATTTCTAGATTCCAATCGTTATGTACTAAAATATGAAAATCTAATGCACACTTACTGTAATTGTTTATTATTTAATTTTTAAATGTTATAAACAATTTTTTCTACTTCATTTACTATATCCATTGTTAGTCTCCATCTTTAATACAATTTCTTTAAGAAGAGAAATATTTTATGAATAATAACTATTTATTAATATTATTTACCATTTTGTTGTTAAATTATTTATAATTATGAATTTACGACTAATTAATAACAATACGGCATTTATTGCGGCAATATTCTCAGCCAGCACTGGTCCAGTGCTGCGCCAGCGCTGTTTGGCAGCACTGACAGACAGTACTTCGGCAGCGCCAGACGGCGTTATCATCCCAGAGTTATGCCAGTGCTGGCTCTCAGCCTTGCCGCCAGTGCTGCCAGTGCTGGCGCAGTACTACGCCAGTTGTAAATTTCCCATTGGGTGCTGGCAATTTAATTTCATTTTAAAAATTTGTCATCATATGGTTTTGAAAGAGGAACAATTTAGCAACAATTAAGTACAAAAGAAAATTTTTTTGAACAAATATTAATGAACTTATATATTTTTTTTGAAAAAAATCACAGTTTTTGCTTTTCTGATGGCGGGCGGGTGGAGCTGCTGGCAATTTAATTTTATTTTAAAAATTTGTCATCATATGGTTTTGAAAGAAAAACAAATTAGCAACAATTTCGTACAAAAAAAAATTTTTTTGAACAAAAATTAAAAACGTTATGATTTTTTTTGAAAAAAATAACAATTTTTGCTTTTCTGATGGCGGGCGGGTGGAGCTGCTGGCAATTTAATTTCATTTTAAAAATTTGTCATTATATGGTTTTGAAAGAGGAACAATTTAGCAACAATTAAGTACAAAAGAAAATTTTTTTGAACAAAAATTAAAGAAGTTATGATTTTTTTTGAAAAAAATCACAATTTTTGCTTTTCTGATGGCGGGCGGGTGGAGCTGCTGGCAATTTAATTTCTTTTTAAAAATTTGTCATAATATGGTTTTGAAAGGAGAACAATTTAGCAACAATTAAGTAGAAAAGAAAATTTTTTTGAACAAAAATTAAAGAACTTATATATTTTTTTTGAAAAAAATCACAGTTTTTGCTTTTCTGATGGCGGGCGGGTGGAGCTGCTGGCAATTTAGTTTCATTTTAAAAATTTGTCATTATATGGTTTTGAAAGGGGAACAATTTAGCAACAATTTAGAACAAAAGAAAATTCTTTTGAACAAAAATTAAAGAACTTATGAATTTTTTTTTGAATGAAATCACAATTTTTGCGTTTCTGATAGCGGGAGGGTGGAGCAGCTGGCTATTTAATTTTTTATAAAAATATTTTTTATACATGTTTTTTAATAGGAATAACCAACAAGAATTTAAGAACTAAAAAAATTTTTTTAATAACTATAATGGGCCTGATAGAAATCGGATGGAGCTGCTTGCTTTTCAATATAAAATTAGAAAATTTGAAACACATCTTTTTAAAAAAGTAATAGCCCAGCAACAATCGTAAGACCAAAAAATTTTTTTTTAATAATTATAATGAGATTTATGAATTTTTTTAGAAAAATCTCAATTTGCACTTTTAAAAAATTCTTACACGTATGTGAAAACAAAATAAAGAATTACAAACAAAAAAACCAATCAGAACTTTTTTAATTTTTGTTCAAAAAAATTTTCTTTTGTACTAAATTGTTGATAAATTGTTCCCCTTTCAAAACCATATGATGACAAATTTTTAAAATGAAATTAAATTGCCAGCAGCTCCACCCGCCCGCCATCAGAAAAGCAAAAATTGTTATTTTTTTCAAAAAAAAATCATAACTTCTTTAATTTTTGTTCAAAAAAATTTTCTTTTGTACTTAATTGTTGCTAAATTGTTCCCCTTTCAAAACCATATGATGACAAATTTTTAAAATGAAATTAAATTGCCAGCAGCTCCACCCGCCCGCCATCAGAAACGCAAAAATTGTGATTTTTTTCAAAAAAAATTTATTAGTTATTTAATTATTTACCAAACAATTTTTCTTTTGTACTAAATCGTTGCTGGATTATTCTCCTTTAAATACCACATTATAAAAAGTTTTTAAAATAAATCTAAATAGCCAGCAGCTCCACCCGTTTGCTATCAGATACGCGTAAATGCTGTGCGTGGCGACGCCTATGGATTCTTCTGATGGCTGACGGCTGGCGGTTCGCTAGCTTCACCGAGCTTACAAAATTTAGGTCAAATTTATCAGTTCCAGAACAATGTATAAGTTTAATTTACAAATTACTGAGCTAAATCGTTAAATGCATTTTTTACAACATTTATTTATGAGTTTAGGTCAACATTTATAAAATTTAGGTCAAAATTATATTTTCAGATCAATTCACGAGGGTAATTTACAAATTACTTAGTTCAACGGAACAATGTATTAATTTTAGAAACTTTTTTTTATGAGTTTAGGTCAAGAATGACTAAATTTAGGTCATAGAGTTATTCTAATTAATAAATTTACATTAAAAATTTATGAGTTCAGTTGAAAAAATTAATAGCTTTAAATAAGTGATAGTAAAATTATCATGTTATTGAGTTTAGGCCGTAAGTTCATTAATTTAAGGTTTATTTATGAGTTTAGACCAGAAATTACTAAATAAAAGTAATTAATGTTTAGATTAAAAAAAATTAATTTCTGAGTTAAAATTACAAGATAATTAAGTTCAGCTCGAATTTATTAGTTTTAGACAAATTTATGAGTTTAGATTAGAGAATTTAATTGTTAAAGTTATAAAAGTATAAAGTTTGGAAAATTACCTTATGAGTTTAGGTCAAAATTTATTAAAATTTGGTGAAATTTATTAGATTCAGATCAATTCATGAGTTTAATTAACAAACTACTAAGTTTAACAGGAGAATGAATAAATTTTAGAAAATTTATTTATGAGTTTAGGTCAAAAATTACTAAATTCAGGTAAAAGAATTATTACTGATAATAAATTTATAAGTTCTGTTGATAAAATTGATAATTTGACGTATTGAAATATTGAAATATTGAACAAAACAGTTTTTTTTTAGATAATACCAAAAATTTAATGAGTTCAGGTTCTAAAATTAATAGATTATAGAATATAATGTTGAAGTTTGAAATGAATAATGTTTAGAAAATTACCATATGAGATTAGGTCAAAAATTAGAATAATCAGTTCAAATTTACTAGTTTCAGACCAATTTATGAGTTTAGCTCGAAAATTATTCATTTAAATCAGAGAATATATAATATTTAGAAAAATTACTTACGATTTTAGACCAAAAGTTAATTAAAGTAATGATAGATTTATGAGTTTAGGTCACAAACTATTACATGAAAAAAATTAATGTTTAAAGATTAAAATAAATAAATTATTTTTGACCTAGATTACAAAATTTATTATCTCTACTAATAATCAATTAAATTTTAAGAGTTTTTAGGTCTCAACTTACTGAATTCAGGTAAAATGTATTAGTTTCAGGTCAATATAAGAGTTTAAGACTCAAATGACAAAATTCAAGTCAAATTTAATAGTTTTAAATCAATTTATAAGCTTAATTTACAAATTACCAAGTTTAACGAAAAAATGTATAAATTTTAGAAAATTTATTTATGAGTTTAGGTCAAAAATCATTAAATTCAGGTTATAGAATTATTTTAGATAATAAATTTATTAATTCAGTTGAAAAAGTTAATAACTTTAAATAAAGAAATTTACAATTAGCAAGTCATTAAATTCTGGACATAAATTTATTAATTTAAGACTAATTCATGAGTATAGGTAAAAAATTACTAAATTTAAAAAAAATTAACTCATGAATTTCAGTCACAAAATAATTAAGTTGATCTCAAATTTGATAGTTTTAGACAAATTAATTAATTTAAATCACAGAATTTAAAATTAAATTATAAAAGTATAAATTTACGAAAAATGCCTTATGAGTTTAGGTCAAAATTTACCAAATTAATTTTTTTTTATTAATTTCAGATCAATTCAATAAGTTTAATTTACTAATTGCTAAATTAAACGGAAGAATATATGGATTTTAGAAAATTTATTTATGAGTTGAGGTCAAAAATTATTAAATTCAGGTACTAGAATTATTATGGATAATAAATTTATGAGTTCAGTTAATAAAATTAATAACTTTAAATAAAGAAATTTACAATTAGCAAGTTATTGAGTTCTGGCTATAACTTTAATAATTTTAGTTAAATTTATGAGTTTTGGTCAGAAATTTCCAAATTCTGGAATAAATTTTTTTTGATGTGTTACTCGAATTTATTAGTTTTCGTCAAATGTATGAGTTTAGATTGCGGAATACATTGTTAAAGTTATAAACGTAGAAATTTTTTCTACAATTTCCTTATGAGTTTAGGTCACAAATTAAAAAATTCAATCCCAATTTATGAATTTCAGGTCAATTCATGATTTTAATTAAGAAAGTCCTAAGTTAAACGAGAAAACGTATAAATTTAAAAAATATATTTATGAGTTCAGGTCAAAAGTGACTAAATTCAGACCATAGAATTATTATAGATAATAAATTTATGAGTTCAGTTTATAAAAGTATTAGTTTTAAGTAATGAATTGTAGAATTATCAAAATATTGACTTAATAAACTTAAATTAATAAGTTTAATAATTTAAGATTAATTTATAAGTTTAGGTCAGAAATCGATAAATTCTAGATAATAAATTTAGTTCTTTTATGTGCTAATTTTATGAGTTTTTGGTAATAAATTTACGGACAATGATAATAAATTTTTGAGAATTAAATAAGAAATATTGAAAATTCTTAGTTTTCGAATTTATGAGTTTAGGTCAAGAACTAAGTTCCGGTCATACTTTTATTGTTCGTTTTGTGTGTGAAATTGAAAATAAATTTAAAATTAAAAATAAAATTAGAACTGAAAATAAAATTAAAATTGAACATAAAATTTGAATTAAAAATTAATTGAAAATAAAATTAGAATTAAAAATTAATTGATAATTAAATTTGCCAACTCACTTCCGGTGATCCATTCTCAGTTTGAATTTACATCGTTTCCCATTGACTTTCGTGTAAATAACAAGACACGATTTACTGTAACTCAAAGTTTGAATATCCCTCCATTGAAATTTTGCCAATTCTTTCCTCTCACGAAAACGACCGCCGCCTCTTTCAAAGAGTTTCAAACCCTCGCCATGTATTGCCAACCAAACACTGCTCTCGGTCTTTTTCCTCTTATCATTCTCAGTTTTACTCGAATTATTATGAATATTATGAATATTATTATTATTATTATTATTATTGACGTTAATAATTTCAGCACTCTCCTTTTCACTTGTCACCGAAGTATAAATATTATCATTGACATTAGCAGTAGTGGTTGGATTTCTAGCGAGAATTATTTTCTCCTCGTCCGTGTAGGCTTTTGTTTTATCAGCACTATTAGCAGGAAATGCGGGACAATTGCGTTTTAATTGAGCGTAAATATCTTCGGTATGCGTCCGACCTATTGGCGATGTACGTTCATTAAATTTTCTCTGTCGACTTATTATTTTACTCAATTCCTTGGCATCCACCGTCGCAATGTAATAGTGCGAACCAAAATCAGATAAATTTTGAGCGTGAGTGATAAACATTTCCTCGGCTTTATTTGTATCGAGACCACGTCTCTCACGGTGCGCTTGATGTAATTGTCGTTTTAAATTTTCAGCGTTACTTGATAAGTCGCTGTATTGTTGGTCATGATCTGGATTTAATATCAGGGCTTCGGGAATGTAGTGCTCCAGGAGGAAATAATCTCCACATCCGTGTTCCTAAAACAATTCAATTTTATTAGTATTCTTCTAATATTTTCGGTAAAATTTTTGTTAATATTCTTTTTAATATTTTAGATTTTTTACCGAAAGGTAGAGACTATTAAATAAGTAAAGTGTTTTTTAAGAGCACAAAAATAGTGAAGCTAATGCCATTAAAAAGAAGAAAAATTGTTGAATTTTAAGAAAGTCGGATTTTTGAATTTTTGATAATTTTGGATAATTTTAGATTTTTTACCAAAGAGTCGAGACTATTTAATAAGTAAAGTATTTTCCAAAAGCACAAAAATAATGAAGCTATTTGCCATAAAAAGGAAGAAAAAATGTTGAATTTTAAGAAATTCGGATTTTTGAATTTTTTCGAATTTTTGATAATTTTAGATTTTTTACCAAAGAGTCGAGAGTATTAAATAAGTAAAGTATTTTCCAAAAGCACAAAAATAATGAAGCTATTTGCCATAAAAAGGAAGAAAAAATGTTGAATTTTAAGAAATTCGGATTTTTGAATTTTTTCGAATTTTTGATAATTTTAGATTTTTTACCAAAGAGTCGAGAGTATTAAATAAGTAAAGTATTTTCCAAAAGCACAAAAATAATGAAGCTATTTGCCATAAAAAGGAAGAAAAAATGTTGAATTTTAAGAAATTCGGATTTTTGAATTTTTGATAATTTTGGATAATTTTAGATTTTTTACCAAAGAGTCGAGACTATTTAATAAGTAAAGTATTTTCCAAAAGCACAAAAATAATGAAGCTATTTGCCATAAAAAGGAAGGAAAAATGTTGAATTTTAAGAAATTCGGATTTTTGAATTTTTGATAATTTTGGATAATTTTAGATTTTTTACCAAAGAGTCAAGACTATTTAATAAGTAAAGTATTTTCCAAAAGCACAAAAATAATGAAGCTATTTGCCATAAAAAGGAAGAAAAAATGTTGAATTTTAAGAAATTCGGATTTTTGAATTTTTGATAATTTTGGATAATTTTAGATTTTTTACCAAAGAGTCGAGACTATTTAATAAGTAAAGTATTTTCCAAAAGCACAAAAATAATGAAGCTATTTGCCATAAAAAGGAAGAAAAAATGTTGAATTTTAAGAAATTCGGATTTTTGAATTTTTTCGAATTTTTGATAATTTTAGATTTTTTACCAAAGAGTCGAGAGTATTAAATAAGTAAAGTATTTTCCAAAAGCACAAAAATAATGAAGCTATTTGCCATAAAAAGGAAGAAAAAATGTTGAATTTTAAGAAATTCGGATTTTTGAATTTTTGATAATTTTGGATAATTTTAGATTTTTTACCAAAGAGTCGGGACAATTTAATAAGTAAAGTATTTTCCAAAAGCACAAAAACAATGAAGCTAAATCCCATAAAAGAGAGGAAAAAATGTTGAATTTTAAGAAATTCGGATTTTTGAATTTTGGATAATTTTAGATTTTTTACCAAAGAGTCGAGACTATTTAATAAGTAAAGTATTTTCCAAAAGCACAAAAATAATGAAGCTATTTGCCATAAAAAGGAAGAAAAAATGTTGAATTTTAAGAAATTCGGATTTTTGAATTTTTGATAATTTTGGATAATTTTAGATTTTTTACCAAAGAGTCGAGACTATTTAATAAGTAAAGTATTTTCCAAAAGCACAAAAATAATGAAGCTATTTGCCATAAAAAGGAAGGAAAAATGTTGAATTTTAAGAAATTCGGATTTTTGAATTTTTGATAATTTTGGATAATTTTAGATTTTTTACCAAAGAGTCGGGACAATTTAATAAGTAAAGTATTTTCCAAAAGCACAAAAACAATGAAGCTAAATCCCATAAAAGAGAGGAAAAAATGTTGAATTTTAAGAAATTCGGATTTTTGAATTTTGGATAATTTTGGATAATTTTAGATTTTTTACCAAAGAGTCGAGACTATTTAATAAGTAAAGTATTTTCCAAAAGCACAAAAATAATGAAGCTATTTGCCATAAAAAGGAAGGAAAAATGTTGAATTTTAAGAAATTCGGATTTTTGAATTTTTGATAATTTTGGATAATTTTAGATTTTTTACCAAAGAGTCGGGACAATTTAATAAGTAAAGTATTTTCCAAAAGCACAAAAATAATGAAGCTAAATCCCATAAAAGAGAGGAAGAAATGTTGAATTTTAAGAAATTCGGATTTTTGAATTTTGGATAATTTTGGATAATTTTAGATTTTTTACCAAAGAGTCGGGACTATTTAATAAGTAAAGTATTTTCCAAAAGCACAAAAATAATGAAGCTAAATCCCATAAAAGAGAGGAAAAAATGTTGAATTTTAAGAAATTCGGATTTTTGAATTTTTGATAATTTTGGATAATTTTAGATTTTTTACCAAAGAGTCGGGACAATTTAATAAGTAAAGTATTTTCCAAAAGCACAAAAATAATGAAGCTAAATCCCATAAAAGAGAGGAAAAAATGTTGAATTTTAAGAAATTCGGATTTTTGAATTTTGGATAATTTTGGATAATTTTAGATTTTTTACCAAAGGGTGGAGACTATTTAAAAAGTAAAGTGTTTTTGAAGAGCACAAAAATAATGAAGCTATTTGCCATAAAAAGGAAGAAAAAATGTTGAATTTTAAGAAATTCGGATTTTTGAATTTTTGATAATTTTGGATAATTTTAGATTTTTTACCAAAGAGTCGAGACTATTTAATAAGTAAAGTATTTTCCAAAAGCACAAAAATAATGAAGCTATTTGCCATAAAAAGGAAGAAAAAATGTTGAATTTTAAGAAATTCGGATTTTTGAATTTTTTCGAATTTTTGATAATTTTAGATTTTTTACCAAAGAGTCGAGAGTATTAAATAAGTAAAGTATTTTCCAAAAGCACAAAAATAATGAAGCTATTTGCCATAAAAAGGAAGAAAAAATGTTGAATTTTAAGAAATTCGGATTTTTGAATTTTTGATAATTTTGGATAATTTTAGATTTTTTACCAAAGAGTCGGGACAATTTAATAAGTAAAGTATTTTCCAAAAGCACAAAAACAATGAAGCTAAATCCCATAAAAGAGAGGAAAAAATGTTGAATTTTAAGAAATTCGGATTTTTGAATTTTGGATAATTTTAGATTTTTTACCAAAGAGTCGAGACTATTTAATAAGTAAAGTATTTTCCAAAAGCACAAAAATAATGAAGCTATTTGCCATAAAAAGGAAGAAAAAATGTTGAATTTTAAGAAATTCGGATTTTTGAATTTTTGATAATTTTGGATAATTTTAGATTTTTTACCAAAGAGTCGAGACTATTTAATAAGTAAAGTATTTTCCAAAAGCACAAAAATAATGAAGCTATTTGCCATAAAAAGGAAGGAAAAATGTTGAATTTTAAGAAATTCGGATTTTTGAATTTTTGATAATTTTGGATAATTTTAGATTTTTTACCAAAGAGTCGGGACAATTTAATAAGTAAAGTATTTTCCAAAAGCACAAAAACAATGAAGCTAAATCCCATAAAAGAGAGGAAAAAATGTTGAATTTTAAGAAATTCGGATTTTTGAATTTTGGATAATTTTGGATAATTTTAGATTTTTTACCAAAGAGTCGAGACTATTTAATAAGTAAAGTATTTTCCAAAAGCACAAAAATAATGAAGCTATTTGCCATAAAAAGGAAGGAAAAATGTTGAATTTTAAGAAATTCGGATTTTTGAATTTTTGATAATTTTGGATAATTTTAGATTTTTTACCAAAGAGTCGGGACAATTTAATAAGTAAAGTATTTTCCAAAAGCACAAAAATAATGAAGCTAAATCCCATAAAAGAGAGGAAGAAATGTTGAATTTTAAGAAATTCGGATTTTTGAATTTTGGATAATTTTGGATAATTTTAGATTTTTTACCAAAGAGTCGGGACTATTTAATAAGTAAAGTATTTTCCAAAAGCACAAAAATAATGAAGCTAAATCCCATAAAAGAGAGGAAAAAATGTTGAATTTTAAGAAATTCGGATTTTTGAATTTTTGATAATTTTGGATAATTTTAGATTTTTTACCAAAGAGTCGGGACAATTTAATAAGTAAAGTATTTTCCAAAAGCACAAAAATAATGAAGCTAAATCCCATAAAAGAGAGGAAAAAATGTTGAATTTTAAGAAATTCGGATTTTTGAATTTTGGATAATTTTGGATAATTTTAGATTTTTTACCAAAGGGTGGAGACTATTTAAAAAGTAAAGTGTTTTTGAAGAGCACAAAAATAATGAAGCTATTTGCCATAAAAAGGAAGAAAAAATGTTGAATTTTAAGAAATTCGGATTTTTGAATTTTTGATAATTTTGGATAATTTTAGATTTTTTACCAAAGAGTCGAGACTATTTAATAAGTAAAGTATTTTCCAAAAGCACAAAAATAATGAAGCTATTTGCCATAAAAAGGAAGGAAAAATGTTGAATTTTAAGAAATTCGGATTTTTGAATTTTTGATAATTTTGGATAATTTTAGATTTTTTACCAAAGAGTCGAGACTATTTAATAAGTAAAGTATTTTCCAAAAGCACAAAAACAATGAAGCTATTTGCCATAAAAGAGAGGAAAAAATGTTGAATTTTAAGAAATTCGGATTTTTGAATTTTGGATAATTTTGGATAATTTTAGATTTTTTACCAAAGAGTCGAGACTATTTAATAAGTAAAGTATTTTCCAAAAGCACAAAAATAATGAAGCTATTTGCCATAAAAAGGAAGGAAAAATGTTGAATTTTAAGAAATTCGGATTTTTGAATTTTTGATAATTTTGGATAATTTTAGATTTTTTACCAAAGAGTCGGGACAATTTAATAAGTAAAGTATTTTCCAAAAGCACAAAAATAATGAAGCTAAATCCCATAAAAGAGAGGAAGAAATGTTGAATTTTAAGAAATTCGGATTTTTGAATTTTGGATAATTTAGGATAATTTTAGATTTTTTACCAAAGAGTCGGGACTATTTAATAAGTAAAGTATTTTCCAAAAGCACAAAAATAATGAAGCTATTTGCCATAAAAAGGAAGAAAAAATGTTGAATTTTAAGAAATTCGGATTTTTGAATTTTTGATAATTTTGGATAATTTTAGATTTTTTACCAAAGAGTCAAGACTATTTAATAAGTAAAGTATTTTCCAAAAGCACAAAAATAATGAAGCTAAATCCCATAAAAGAGAGGAAAAAATGTTGAATTTTAAGAAATTCGGATTTTTGAATTTTGGATAATTTTGGATAATTTTAGATTTTTTACCAAAGAGTCGAGACTATTTAATAAGTAAAGTATTTTCCAAAAGCACAAAAATAATGAAGCTATTTGCCATAAAAAGGAAGAAAAAATGTTGAATTTTAAGAAATTCGGATTTTTGAATTTTTGATAATTTTGGATAATTTTAGATTTTTTACCAAAGAGTCGAGACTATTTAATAAGTAAAGTATTTTCCAAAAGCACAAAAATAATGAAGCTATTTGCCATAAAAAGGAAGGAAAAATGTTGAATTTTAAGAAATTCGGATTTTTGAATTTTTGATAATTTTGGATAATTTTAGATTTTTTACCAAAGAGTCGGGACAATTTAATAAGTAAAGTATTTTCCAAAAGCACAAAAATAATGAAGCTAAATCCCATAAAAGAGAGGAAGAAATGTTGAATTTTAAGAAATTCGGATTTTTGAATTTTGGATAATTTTGGATAATTTTAGATTTTTTACCAAAGAGTCGAGACTAGTTAATAAGTAAAGTATTTTCCAAAAGCACAAAAATAATGAAGCTATTTGCCATAAAAAGGAAGAAAAAATGTTGAATTTTAAGAAATTCGGATTTTTGAATTTTTGATAATTTTGGATAATTTTAGATTTTTTACCAAAGAGTCGAGACTATTTAATAAGTAAAGTATTTTCCACAAGCACAAAAATAATGAAGCTATTTGCCATAAAAAGGAAGAAAAAATGTTGAATTTTAAGAAATTCGGATTTTTGAATTTTTGATAATTTTGGATAATTTTAGATTTTTTACCAAAGAGTCGAGACTATTTAATAAGTAAAGTATTTTCCAAAAGCACAAAAATAATGAAGCTATTTGCCATAAAAAGGAAGGAAAAATGTTGAATTTTAAGAAATGCGGATTTTTGAAATTTTGATAATTTTGGATAATTTTAGATTTTTTACCAAAGAGTCGAGACTATTTAATAAGTAAAGTATTTTCCAAAAGCACAAAAATAATGAAGCTATTTGCCATAAAAAGGAAGGAAAAATGTTGAATTTTAAGAAATTCGGATTTTTGAATTTTTGATAATTTTGGATAATTTTAGATTTTTTACCAAAGAGTCGGGACAATTTAATAAGTAAAGTATTTTCCAAAAGCACAAAAATAATGAAGCTAAATCCCATAAAAGAGAGGAAAAAATGTTGAATTTTAAGAAATTCGGATTTTTGAATTTTGGATAATTTTGGATAATTTTAGATTTTTTACCAAAGGGTGGAGACTATTTAAAAAGTAAAGTGTTTTTGAAGAGCACAAAAATAGTGAAGCTATTTGCCATAAAAAGAAAAGAAAAAATGTTGAATTTTAAGAAATTCGGATTTTTGAATTTTTGATAATTTTGGATAATTTTAGATTTTTTACCAAAGAGTCGGGACAATTTAATAAGTAAAGTATTTTCCAAAAGCACAAAAATAATGAAGCTAAATCCCATAAAAGAGAGGAAAAAATGTTGAATTTTAAGAAATTCGGATTTTTGAATTTTGGATAATTTTGGATAATTTTAGATTTTTTACCAAAGGGTGGAGACTATTTAAAAAGTAAAGTGTTTTTGAAGAGCACAAAAATAATGAAGCTATTTGCCATAAAAAGGAAGAAAAAATGTTGAATTTTAAGAAATTCGGATTTTTGAATTTTTGATAATTTTGGATAATTTTAGATTTTTTACCAAAGAGTCGAGACTATTTAATAAGTAAAGTATTTTTTAAGAGCACAAAAATAGTGAAGCTATTTGCCATAAAAAGGAAGAAAAAATGTTGAATTTTAAGAAATTCGGATTTTTGAATTTTGGATAATTTTGGATAATTTTAGATTTTTTACCAAAGAGTCGAGACTATTTAATAAGTAAAGTATTTTTTAAGAGCACAAAAATAGTGAAGCTATTTGCCATAAAAAGGAAGAAAAAATGTTGAATTTTAAGAAATTCGGATTTTTGAATTTTTGAAAATTTTTAATAATTTTTTATTTTTTACCAAAGGGTGGAGACTATTAAACAAGTAAAGTGTTTTTTAAGAGCACAAAAATAGTGACGCTAAATGCCATTAAAAAGAAGAAAAATTGTTGTATTTTAGGAAATTCGGCTTTTTGAATTTTTGATAATTTTCGATAATTTTAGATCTTTTACCAAATGTGGAGACTATTAAATTAGGTTGTAAAATCAATAGCTTTAAGTAAATAATTTTTAAATTATCAAGTTATTGATTTCAGGCAATTTATAATTTATAAGTTTATAAGTTTATAAATTTATATGAATTTATAAGTTTATAAATTTGAGGTACATTTATGAATTTAGGTCAGAAATTACTTAATGTTTAGATTTTAGAAAAATTAATTTGAGTCAGAGTCATAATACATTTAAGTTCAGCCAAAATTTATTACTTTTAGACAAGTTTATGAATTTAGATTAAAAACTACTGACTTAAATAGGCACAAAAAACATTTATTTTATATTTATTTATTTCACAACATTTATTTATGAGTTTAGGTCAAAATTTATCAAATTGAGTTCAAATTTAGGTTTTAGATTAATTCATAAGTTCAATTTAAAATTTGTTAAATTAAACAGGCGAATGTATGAATTTAAGAAATTATATTTATGAGTTTAGGTCAAAAATTACTAAATTCAGGTCTCTGAATTATTATAGATAATAAATGTATGAGTTCAGTTGAAAAAAATGAATAACTTTAAAAGTTTAAATTAAAAAAATTTACAATTAGTAAGTTATCAAGTTCTGGACATAAGTTTATTAATTTAAGATTAATTCATGAGTTTAGGTCAGAAATTACTAAATGTTAAAAAAATTAACTTATGAATTCCAGTGACAAAATAATTAAGTTTAGCTCGAATTTATTAGTTTTAGACAAATTCATTAGTTTAGGTCTCAAATTACTGGTCAGGTCAAATTTATAAATTTTAGGTCAATTTCAGAGTTTAAGACTCAAGTGACAAAATTCATATCGAATTTATTAGTTTCAGATCAATTCATAAGTTTAATTAACAAATTACTAAGTTAAACGGGAGAATGTATAATTTTTAGAAAATTTATTTATGAGTTTAGGTCTAAAAGTACTGAACTCAGGTCATACAGTTATAATTAGAAATTAAATTTATGAGTTCAGTTGATAGAATTGATAATTTTACATATTGAAATTTAACTTATGAAGCTATTGAGTCCAGGCCATAAGTTTATTAATTTAATGTTAATTCATGAGTTTCGGTCAAAATCTACTGAATTTGAGTTAATAAATTGATTGGTTTTATACAACAAGTTTATGATTTTTAGTTTAGGTAAAAAATTTATATTTTTTAGACAATAAATTTTAGATAAAGATAGTAATAAGTTTTAATAAGATTTAGATAAAAATTTATGAGTTTAGGTCACTAGTTTATGAGTTTAGATCACTAATTTACAAGTTTCGTTAATAAATTTATAAATTTTCGATAATTTGCGTGTATATAGGTTTTGAGAAATAATTCCAGTTAGGAAATGTCTGAAATAAAATTGTTTTCAAATAATTATTTTAATTGTTTCAAGAGACAGTTAATTATCGATTTATTTTTGATTTTTTTTTCTCTCGTGTCAGTTTACTTACATTGACGCTATAATTTCCAAACTCTGCCTGCAGAGCGAGACCGGTCAAATTAATTAGCTGCGTCAAAGGACATACCAGCTGCTGTTCTAATATACATCGACGAATTTGAAGGTATAGGAGGTGCTTCGAAGTCCAGCTTCTATTAACAGAAAATAAAAATTCAATTTTAAAAACCATTAGCAGATTGATTCTGTTTAGTGATTTATCCTATACTATGGAATTATAATTACAATAATAATATTAATAATAATAATAATAATGATAATTATTATTATATTACATTATATTATTATTACCTATATTATTATAATAATAAAAATTTTTAGAAACAATTCAATTATTTTTAATATAAAATTTCCCAAAATAATTCAATTATTTCAACAAAAAAATTTTATATAAAATTCGTTGCAAACATTCAATTATTTTCGAAAATAATAAAATTTACACTGTAATTAAATTATATAAAACACAATTTTCATAAAATTATTTTTAAAAAATTTTATAAACTTCTTCGCATGAATTCAATTATTTTTGAAAATTTTAATAAAATTCTTCGTAAAGAATCAATTACTTTCAAAAATTTTGATAACATTTTTTAAGGTATTTGTCGCGTAAATTCGTTTTCGTCAGATTTTTTTTAAATTTCACATAATTATTCTTTGGATATTTATCTACAAAATAAGGCCTATTAAAATAAAATTGACCGTCTGTAAGTCTCAAAAAATGAAATCAAAGTTTCGATTTTTAACATGTAAGGTATAGGAAAACCATATGAAAACCACAGATTTTTAATTTTTGCACTTATACTAATCGTCAGATTTTTTAGAAAAACTAAAGTTTCATTTATTGAACCAAAATGAACTTTTATAAAAAAAATGAAAATTTTTCACCGTCTTGTTTAAAAGATATTTAACGTCAAACTTGAAAAATTATTTTAACAATTACTGTAAATGACAGGTGAATTCGTAAACGTGGCAATAGCGCTTGTTAAATACTACAGCTTGTCTGCTACTTTTGGCGCGAAATTTTAAAGACGGCCATACGCCAAACTTGCGACGTTGCCACGATCGCTTTTCATGCGATAGGTTATGAATATACATTGAGAACATCTGTGTGTCAAACTGTACGTCCGCAAAAGTTTTTCGGAAACTCGCATTCATAATCCGTTTCATAAGTACAGTCAACGGATACAAACTTTTGACAGTGACCAGTCGCGCGACAAATACCTTAAAGGAATTCAATTTTAAAAATATTTAAGTATTCAAAAAATTATTTATTTTTGTATTCAAATAATTGAATTCTCGTAGAATTTTCAAATTCTTTTGAAATTAGTTCAAGTTTTTCATATGTATTTAATTAATTATTAAAAATAATACATTTATAGAAGAATTTTAGTTAAAAATGCTAAAAAATTGAATTTCATACAAGTTACAAATAATTAAAGAAATTCAATTATTTTTAAAAGTAATAAAATTTATTCTTTGCAGACATTCAATCATGTTCAAAAAATTTTTTTTTAATTCTTGTCAATATTTCAATTATCTTAATAAATAATAAATTTTTTTTTTTGATATTCAATTATTTCCAAAAATTTTCATAAAATTCTTGGCAAAATTTCAATTATTGTCAAATATATTCCTCAGTTCAATGATGTTCAATATTTACTACTTTAATAAAGGCTTCCGTTTCCGGTACCGTTTCGGTGTACACGCGTTTGGAAAGAGTTAAGAGTTTTTTTGAGAAATATAAAGGTTTTAAAAAAGGGTGGGTAATGTAGAGTGCTGAGTGTGTAGTGTAATTTGCGGTAGTGTAAAGGAAAGGTATGTTGGTATAGAGTAGTGAATGTGTGAGTGATAAAAAAGGTAAAAAAGAGAAGTGTGTTTTGTGAGGTTAGGTTGCTTGAAGTGAGAGAGAGGAGAGAGAGACAGTGGAAAAATTTTGAGCATTTGAGTGATAAGGTAGATTTCTGGAATGGCTGAGTTTGACTCAAGTAGTGTTAGCGAGAATGAGAAAAAGGCGCGGGTATTTGAAAGGGGAATAGGAAAGAATGGAAAAAAGATGACGTGTGAGGATTGCATGGATTTGTTAGAATTAGTATGGATGATGAAGGACGCGATGGATGAAGGAGCGAAGAGAGTAAGGGAAAATTTGATGGATATATGTGAGGATGGGGAATCAAGGGACAAAGAGATAGTGGAAATTGAAGAGAGGTTGGAGAAATTGCAGGAAATGTGGAATGAATGGGATAGTAAGTGGAAAAAGGATAAGGAAAGCATGTGGAGAAGAATGAATGGATTAGAAAAATTTATAAAGGAAGTGAATGAGGGGACTGAGAAAGTTGAGGGAAGTGAATATGAGAGGTTAAAGTGGAAAATGGGAGATTTGTCAAGACGAGTGGATGTAGTAGAAAATGAAAAAAGGAAAAAGAATGTAGTGATCAGAGGTATGAATGTAGGTGTGTTGGAGGGTAAAAGAGCAGTGGAAAAAGTGTTGGCGTGGGTGGGGGTTAATGTCTCAGTGAAAATGGTACAAGCGTTAGGAAAGGGTGAATATGGGGTACCAAAGTTATGGTTGGTGGAGTTGGGTAGTGAGGAAGAGAAAATGGATGTAATGAGGGTGAAAGGAAGACTGAAAGGAAGTGTAATAAGAATAGATGAGGATAGATGTTGGAGAGAGAGAAGAATGCTATGGCTATTGAGAGAAAGAGCGTGGACGGAGAGAGTGAAAGGAAAACAGGTAAGAATGGGTAAGGATTGTATTTGGGTGGATGGGGTAAAGTATGTTGTGGGGGAGGATATGGGTGGAGTGATGGAAGTGTGTAAAGTGTGATAGATAGGTATAGGCTGAGAATGAGGTGAGAAGATTTTGCTTGGATGGATGGATGGATGGATAAAAGTGGATGACTGGAGCGTGTAAGGGAGGTGAGAAAGCAGGTTTTTGAAAAAAGGGTGGGCGAATTGGGTTGAAGCCAGCATGGGCATAGAAGGAACTGGAAACGGAAGCCCGGCACTGGCGATAGGTTAAGAGCGTAAGGTAGAGAGCGTGGAGAGAGTTGCGTTTTTTAGGTTAAGTTGTATGAAGAGAATGTTTAGTTGTAAGGATTTTTGTAAATATAGGTTAAGATTGTTATGTATGTACTTGGGAGTCTCGAACCCTACCTATTGTAGGGAGAGTAAATAAACTATATATACTACTTTAATAAAATTCTCCAAAAGAATTCAATTGTTTAAAAAATATTTTAATAAAATTCTTCGTAAACATTTAATTATTTTCATAAAATAATAAAAATTTCACAGAAATTCAATTATTTACAAATTTTGTTTATAAATTTCTTCGACATAATTCAATTATTTTCATAAATAATAAAATTTTTACAGGGATTCAATTATTTTCGTAAATAATAAAATTTTTTTTAGGAATTCAATTATTTTCACAAATAATGAAACTCATTGTAGAATTTCAATTATTTTACCTCCAATTTTAATCGAATTTTTCGAAAAATGTAATTATTCTTAAAACTTTTATTAAAATTCGTCGATAGAATTCAATTATTTGAAAATTTGTTGATAAAATAATAAAATATAATTAATTAATAATTAATAATTAATTATAATAATTAATAATTAATAATAATTAATAAAATAAAAAATTCTTTATTAATAATATTAATAATTCTTTATTAATATAAATAATTTTTATTCAATAAAAAATATTATTGAATTTTTGATGAATAACACTTGTAATTTTTAGAAATAGTTAAATTTCAAAAAAGGCTTTACATTGAAATCATTTAAAGTATTTTAATTTCTGCGGAAAAATAAATAGGTATTTAAATATTTATTTTTTAAAAAATTCTTTTTTTGAATGTAATTTAATTTAGAAATTATGAAAAAATTGAGGCGTTAAATTTAATTTTTCAATAGCCATTTTTATTGATTAATTTATTACTTAATTAATTAATTAATTAATTAATTTTCAGTCTTAAAGCTACTTTTTGATTAATTTTTTGATTTTATTTTTAAATTAACAAAATTTTTTAGCAGATTCCAATTCGAATGTTGAAAGTCAATTAAAAATATTTTCTATCAGTGAAATTAACGTTTATTACCTTTGATGTTGGTAGTGGTTAGTCAAAGTTTATTTATGAAAAAGCAATTTACTTTTTCGATAATTTATTATTCATTCTGTGACATTAACTTTAAACTATTCATTTATATTCTGTAGATTTTTTTCTCTATCCCTTTTCTCTTGAGAAAATCAATTTTCTTCATTTGAGGATAAATTTGATATTGAAAATAGAATTTACAAAAGAAAAAAAAAATTCTTGATACCTATTTCTTTTTGTAAAAAATATTACCCATGTATATTAGAGATTTTTTTTTTTTTTTTTGACAAAAAAGCAAGGAATGTGCGGGGAAAAATTTGAATTTGATATCATTAGTAAGGTTATGAGGTGAAAAGCCTCCTTGGTACATATATACATATATATATCTTGGGATAAAAGTTGAAAAAGGCAAAAAAAAAAAAAGTTAATGGGGCGTTACTAACTTTGTCGCACGAGGGTGAAGTCGAGTGTTACGAGCATACACTTTTCTTTTTTTTGCGGAAATTAATTAAATCTTGAATTCCGTCAGTTAAGATGGTATAAGCAACCTTCTTGGAAAATATACTACTTCACATTAGTAGAACGAACGAAAAGTTTGACTTCCTAGAAGATTTCGACTGACTTATTAAAAGTCAAGTTTAGCTTTCGCGAAATATATTTTATTCGTTTTATAATTATGAGAAAGTTTTTTTTTTCTTCTTTTTTTGAAAGAATGTGTATTAAAAAAGTATGGAAGTACAAATTTTTTCGAGAAGAGTTATTTTTTTAATTTAAAAATAGTTCATTTTAAACTTGTTAGTGCGGATCACATATATTTGTTTTTTTCGCAATTTACATCTAGTTTTATAAAAAGCTCTTAAATATTTTTTAATATTTTTTTTCCCTTCTTTAACTCTGAAAATAATTGCAATTAAATTTTTTCTGTAATGCAAATTTTTAGAGAATAATTTTAATTAATATTTGAATGGAATTTTCTTGTTTTTTAAAAGTTTGATAAAATGATGAAAAAAAAAAATGTTGTAAGTTTTATAAGAGAATTTTTTTCAATACTTATTTGAGAAAAAAAACTGGGAATTATGAAGAAGATTTTTATGCAGTTCCCTCTCTTTTTAATTATGTCGAGAAATTTTTGATCGATATCTCAACTTAATTGTAAGTGAGGCGACATAAAGGAAATACTTTTCTCTTAAGAATTTTTCCACATTAAGTATTTTTTATTTAAAAAGCAATTTTTAATTTATTTTTCAAAATTCCCGCAGGATTTTTAAGCTTTTAGCGATAACAGCGTCTCTGGAATGTTAGCGCCAATATTCTTTTTTAAAATGAGATACGAATTACTTTAGAAAAATTTTATGAGTTTAGGTTAAAATTAACAAAATTTAAGTCAAACAACTCTTCCTATATAATAAATTTATGAGTTCCGGTAATAAAGTAATAAGTTTTTTAAGTTTCATGTACATTTAGGTCTCAAATTACTAAATTCAGGTCAATTTTAGTAGTTTCAAATAAATTTATGAGTTTAGGTCACGAATGACTAAAGTCAGGTCAAATTTAAAAGTTTCAGATCAATTCAAAAGAATATTTTATAAATTACGAACTCAATAACTTGCTAATTGTAAATTTTTTTATTTAATGTTATTAATTATTTGAACTGAACTCATAAATATTATTATTTATAATAATTCCATGACCTGAATTTAGTCATTTTTGCCCTAAACTCAAAAATAAATTTTCTAAAATTTATACATTTTCCCGTGTAACATAATATTTTCTAAACTTAACTTATGAATTGCTCTGAAACTAATAAATATGACCTGAATTTAGTAAATTTTGACCTGAACTCATAAATGAATGTTGGAGAATTAATACATTTGCCAATTTAGGTCAGTGATTCGTAAATTAAACTTATTAATTCATCTGAAACTAATAAATTTGACCTGAAATTAGTAATTCTTGACCTAAACTCATAAATTGAACTATAACTACTTAATTTGACCTAAATTTAGTAATTTAGGATCTAAACTAATCCATTTAGTTAGTAAACTTTTACCTAAACTATTGTATTTATCTTCTTTAATAATTGTTTGAAACAAATTTAAGAACTTTTGACCTAAACTCATAAATAAATTTTCAAAAATTCATAAAGTACACAAATTAACTTAGCCATTTTTGAAATAAACTCATGAATTGATCTGAAACTAATAAATTTGACCTGAATTTAGTAAATTTTGACCTAAAGTCATAAAATAATTTTCGTAAATTTAAATATTTATAACTTTAATATTAAAATCTATAATGTGAAGTCGTAAATTTGTCTAAAACTAATAAATTGGCGCAGAACTTGATTATTTTGTGCCTGAAATTTATAAGTTAATCTTTTAAACAATTTAGTTATTTTTGACCCAAACTCATAAATTAAACAATTTTTTTTTAAACTGAAGTTATAAATTTATAATCTATAATAATTACATGACCTGAATTTAGTTATTTTTGAACTGAACTCATAAGTTAATAATTTTCTAAAACTAATAAATTACAAAATTTAGGTCAAATTTATTATTTTTAGATTAATTTATACAAGTTTAAGTCACAGATTACTAAATCAAAGCCGAAAGTATAAAAATAGGGAATTTACTTATGAGTTAAGGTCAATATGTACTAAATGAAGGTTATACAATTTTTATAAATTATAAATTTAAGAGTTTAGGTCAAAAAAATTAATAGTCTTAAATGATGAATTTAAAAAGTATAAACTTAGTAAATTATCTAGTAAATTATTTATTGATATAAATGTTTAATGAGTTTATTACTTTAAAATTTATTTATGAGTTTAGGTCAGAAATGACTAAATTCAATTTATTTTTTTGGAAAATTTTTAAGTAAAAAAAATTATAATATTCAGCTACATTTTTAAGAATATTTTTCTTTTGAAATTTTTTTTTCTTTTCGAAATATTTAAAATTTGTCACTGAATTTTAATTTAATGGCTGTGGTGAGAACAAAGTTGGGCTAAAACCCGTAAAGAGAATATAGGACTAATACCCTTCACTTTGAGGGATGTACGTGAAGCGGGTTGCGATCATCGTTCTTGCTTGTGCTCTCGACATATCGAGCTGCGTACGGGAGATTGATGGGACATTAACGAGTAGCTTCTAACGAGTAATGGCCCGGCTTGTGTGTTAGTTCACTCTCTTGATAGACACTAGACACACTAAAATACTGAATATGCATGTAAATTTTATAGAACAGTGGAGAAAGGCGAATTTTCAAAGAGTTATTCCCCCGAACACATTCTGTGTCAAGTCAAATAATAACTAACAATTTTACGAGATGTAAAAGTATAATATTTCATTGGGCGTATAAATATGGGGTTTTATGAGTTTAGGTCACAAATAACAAAGTTTGTATCAAACTATTATTGGGGAAAATAAATTCGATAGATTGGGAAAAATTTACTAAATTTTATGATTCTAATGTATTAGGCTAGGTCCTAAATTACTAAACTCAGGTCAAATTAAATATTTGCAGGTCAATTTATAAGTTTAGGTCAACATTAACGAAATTCAGGTGTAGTTTATTAGTTTCAGATCAATTCATGAGTTTAATTTACAAATTACTAAGTTAAATAGGAGAATTTATGAATTTTTGAAAATTTATTTATGAGTTTAGGTCAAAAATAACAAAGCTTGTATCAAATTATTATTCAGGACAATAAATTCGATAGATTGGGTAAACATTTACTAAATTTTATAATTTTACTGTATTAGTCTAGGTCCTAAATTACTAAACTCAGGTCAAATTAAATATTTGCAGGTCAATTTATGAGTTCAGGTCAACATTTACGAAATTCAGGTGTAATTTATTAGTTTCAGATCAATTCATGATTTTAATTTACAAATTACTAAGTTAAATAGTAGAATTTATGAATTTTTGAAAATTTATTTATGAGTTTAGGTAAAAAATAACAAAGTTTGTGTTACACTATTATTGAGGACGATAAATTCAATAGATTAGGTAAAAATTTACTAAATTGCTTCCTCATAGAGGAAGGATTGTATTTTATAATTTTACTGTATTAGTCTAGGTCCTAAATTACTAACCTTTTGAGTTTAGGTCAAAATTTACCAAAATTTAGTCAAATTTATTAGTTTCAAATCAATTCATGATTTTAATTTACAATGTACTAAGTTAAATGGCAGAATTTATTAATTTTTGAAAATTTATTAATGAAAAAAGTTTTTTTTTTTAGGTCAAAAGTAACAAAGCTTGGATCAAACTATTATTGAGGAAGATAAATTTGATAGATTGGGTAAAAATTTACTAAATTTTATGATTTTACTGTATTAGTCTAGGTTCTAAATTACTAAACTCAGATCAAATTAAATATTTGCAGGTCAATTTATGAGTTTAGGTCAACATTTACGAAATTCAGGTATAATTTATTATAGTTTCAGATCAATTCATGAGTTTAATTTACAAATTACTAAGTTGAATAGGAGAATTTATAAAGTTTTAAAAATTTATTTATGAGTTTAGGTCAAAAATAACAAAGCTTGGATCAAACTATTATTCAGGAAGATAAATTCAATAGTTTAGGTAAAAATTTACCCAATTTTAGGTTTTAAATATATTAGTTTATGTCCCAAATTACTAAATTCAGATGAAATTTAGTAGTTGTAGGTCAATTTATGAGTTTAGGTCAACATTAACGAAATTTAGGTCAAATTTAATAGTTGCAGTTTAATTTATTATTTTTATTTGCAAATTATTGAGCTAAATCGGCAAATGTAAGAATTATACAATATTTATTTATGAGTTTAGATCAACATTTATAAAATTTAGGTCAAAATTATTCGTTTTTGTTGAATTTATAAGTTTTCCAATTATTAAGTTAAACGGGAAAATGCTTAAATTTTAGAAAATTTATTTATGAGTTTAGGTAAAAATTAGTAAATTCAGGTCATGAAGAAAAAAATTTCAGGATAATTTCCAATGACTTGATTATTAAATTCATAGCTTTGGTTAATTCTAAAGAAAGAAAATTCAGTTTGGCATAAAATTTTATAAAAGTTTTTTAAAATTTCAAAGTACAGTAAACATTTATCGGATATTGGCTAAATGATAAAAGATGCTAAAGGAAATTGCAGATTATTTTGTATATTTTCTTTTGTAATTTAATTTTTGTGTTTTTCTTATTCAGTTATTCTTGTTTTTATTTTGAAAATAAAGTTATCTCTGGATATACTTTCGCTCTCTATAAAGCTTCTCGGATAATAATTCATGTTTTAATTAAATCGAAAGTGTTTTTGAATAGGAAATTAAAATACCTTATTCCACGGAGTGAAGGAAGGAAAAATCTCAGCCTTAGGTAGAGCATAAAGCTTGCCGGAAGTCCCAGTAGACCTTTACTTTTACCGGTGTTTAGCCAGCCTGGAGGGGCGACTTTATTCAATTTTGTATCTGGCGGTAGCAATGCGAAATCTCCGGCCAATAGCGCAGCTAATCCCAGAGTAAAGTTTTCATCGAGGCCTTCAGCCTGCACGATAGCCTGAAAATGAGATTTGCAACGTTTTTTTTTTAAAGCGTCATTAATTGCATTATTCTCAACTCACTCACTCTCTTTCTCTCTTTTTCTCTCTCTTCCAATCTCTCTCTCTTTCTCTCTCCCTCTTCCTCTCAATCTCCCTTTTTCTCTCTCTCTCTCCCAAACTCTCTCCATCTCTCTCACTCTCTCCTCTCTTTCTCTCTGCCAGCATCGAAATTGAAACGTTCTACAATCAACATTCAATTTTCTACCCTTTAGCGCGATTAACCCGAAATTACTCAATTTTAACATAAAAGAAAAATTCATTCACAATTTTAATGTCTTTATTTATTGTTCAAATAGGGTATTTTTTTGGTTGCTTTCTTTTAAATTTTGTCTTCTTAATTGCAGTTTTTCTATATGCAGATCAAATTAAATTTTTTTGCATTAAAATTTAATTTAACATTTTATTATTATTAGTAATAAATAAAATAAATAATAATATTATTATTAATAATAAATAATAATATTATTATTCATCTTACTAAAACCTACTATTTACAACTTTTTTTTTTACAATTTGCTACTATTTAGATACATGTTTAGATTTATGACACTAAAAGCTACTTTTTTCTCTACGTTTGGGGGAAAGTTGCATCACTTTAAATTCGCTAATAGTTGAAATAAAAAAAGAATTCTAAAAATCGTAATAAAATTCTTTAAAACGATTTAATTATTCTCAAAAACTTTTCAAAAATCAATGATTTTCAATATCTATACATATTTAAATAAAATTCCACAAAAGATTTTTCGTAAAATTCTTCACAAACATTCAATTTTTTTACAAGTAATAACATTTCCACAGGAATTGAATTATTTAAAATATTTCGTAAAATATTTCGAAAGAAATCAATTTAAAAACTTTTTATAAAATTCTACAGCAAGAATTCAATTATTTTCACAAGCAATAACATTTTTCAGGAAAATTCAATTATTTATAAAAATTTAAATAAAATTCCAGGCAAGAATACAATTATTTTTTAAAAAATTGATAAATTCATTCTTTAATTATTCACAATTATTCAATTATTTTTTAAATATTAAAATTTTTCTCGATAATTCAATTATTTAACAATAAAATTCAATTAAAAATAATCAATAAAATTCTTTGCGAACATATGCAATTATTTTCATAAATAATGAAATTCTACTCAGAAATTCAATGAGTTTTCAAAAGATTGAAAAATTCTTGAATTCTTTCTTTAATTCTTCACAAAAATTCAATTTTTTTACTATGTAAATAATAAAATTTTCCACAATTCAATTATTTATTAAAAATTAAAATTAAATTCTTCGCAAAAATTCAATTATTTTCATAAATAATAAAATTCTTCTCAGAAATACTATTATTTAAAAAAAAAATTGATAAATTCTTTTTTTAATTATTCACAATTATTCAATTATTTTCCCAAATAATAAAATTCTTCACGAGAATTCAATTATTTGAAAAAAAATTAAATAAAATTCTTCACAACATTTCAAGTATTTTTATAAACGAATTGAATGATTGTCAAATATTTTAATAAAATGGTCTCAATAGTTTATTTATATTTGTGCATTTCTAATTCCATTATTTTTAATACAACTTTTACAAAAATGCTCATAAGAATTGAATTATTTAAAAAAAATGTACAATACTTTTCTCGTAACAATTCAATGCTTTTTAAAACCTTTAATAAAATTCTCCCTTACGATTCAATTGTTCTACAAAATTTTGATAAAATTTATTTCAAGAATTCAATTATTATTATTAAATAACAAAATTATTAACATCAATTCAATTATTTATTAAATAACGAAATTATTAACATGAATTCAATTATTTTTATAAATAACTTAATTCTTCGCTGGAATTAAATTATTTTCCAAGTTTTCAATTAATTTCTGCAATAGAATTTATTTTTTTAAATTTTGATAAAATTGTTGTTAAAAATTTAATTATTTCATAAATAATTGAATTGTTCTTAAGAATTTAATGATTTTCAAAAATTTTCATAAAGTTTTTTTTATAAAAATTCAATTGTTTTCAGTAAAAACTTAATTAATTTCCAAAGATTTAAATAAAATTCCAGGCAAAAATTCAATTATTTTCATAAATAATAAAATTCTTCTGAGAAATTCAATTTTTTTTTAAATTGATAAATTCTTTCTTTAATTCTTGACAATCATTACATTATTTTCACAAATAATACAATTTTCGACGAGAATTTAATTATTTAAAAAAAATTAAATAAAATTCTTCGCAGAAATTTAAATATTTTTTAAAAAATTGATAAATTCTTTATAAGAATAAAATTTTGAGAAACATTCAACTATTCAATATATTATTTATTATTTTATTTAAATAGTTGAATTGTATAGGGAAAACTGCATAAAAGTTTATTTTTTATAGTAAATTGATTAAATTAAATTTAAATACTGCTCATTGACGGTATGCGTATATTTATTAATTGAAATTAATTTTCTTTAAAAAGATTCGAATAATTTTCTTCTTTTTCCAAGATAAAATAAAAATAAAAAATTAGATAAAAAAAGAGAAAAATTAACGCAGACAAAAATTGCATAAGGGAAAAAAATCAGTTTTTGACGTTACGAGTAGTGAGAGAAAATTTTGCAATAAAACCTTGGAAAATAGAAACTTTTTTTTTTTAAAAAAAGAGACAGAGCCTTTTGACTTTTAAACACAAAATTCGCGAGATTCTAATGAAAATTGGTGAACCAACATAATCGCTCGATAAATTGAAGGCCTTATCGGCCAAAACCAGCTCTCTCTCAAACTCGTGGGTGACTTTGTAACAATTTCCATTTGCCTATTTGATATTGAACCTCGAAGCTCATCTCAATTCTTTTATCTTCTACTTTTTTCTTCTTCTTCTTTTTTTTTTTTTTTTTTTTTGACGAATTTCGCGATTCTTGATATTATTTGAACTTGGAATTTCTTTTCTCAATAGAAATCGCGCACTTATTCAACATTTTTCCGCATTGATCGCATATAAGAAGAGTATATAATGTCGATATCTATCATTACGTAAGTCTTCTAAAAAGATTGAGGAGAATTTTTTCCCAAACCATTCTTCTTTCTTTGCCTTTTCATATTTTTTTGCATTTTTATAATTGGATTCTGTCGAAACATTTATTTCTGTATATCAATCGCAATTGAAAAATACTGCTTTATATAATAATCGTAAGTTTCCTTTCCGTTAGCAAATTCACTGCATTCATTTGTTTATTTTGAAAATTAATTTTTGTGGGTTATTGGCATTTTTTTTTAATGTCAAAAAAACCATAAATCTCACACAAAATTGCCAAAAATTCCATTCTATATTTTTTATTTTCCTGACTTTTTCCTGATTTTCATCAAAAATATTTACTTTTTTCTTATCCTGATAAAAAATTGAATTTCTGTTACGAATTTTATTATTCATGAAAGAATTTAAAATATAAAGCATAATTTAATTCTTACGAAGAATTTTATAAAAAATTTTAAATAATTCATTTCTTTCGAATAATTTTATGCAACTTCTAATTTAAATAATTGAATTGATGAACATTTTTATTATTCATGAAAAGAATTGAATTCTTACGAAGATTTTTACAAACCATTTTTTTAATAATTTTTAAATAATAATAATTTTTTAAATAATTTTAAATAATTTTAATAATTTAATTAAATAATTCTGTTTGAAAATTTTATGAAGATAGTAAATATTTGAAAAAACATTTAACTGCGAAATATTTTTAAAAATAATTAAATTTTACAAAGAATTCTATTAAAATTTTTGCCAATAATTGAATGTCTGTGTGGCATTTTATTAAATTTTTTTGAAAATAATTGAATTCCTAAAAAGCATTTTATTATTTTTTATTAAAATAATAATTGAATTCTTTCAAACGATTTTATTAGAATTTTTTTAAATAATTGAATTTCCAAGAAAAAATGCATTACTTTTAAAAATAATTGAATTCTTGTAATAAATATTGTTATTTATGAAAATAATTGAATTTTGAAAAGAATTTTATTAAAATGCCTCAAAATAATTGAATTTTCGGGATTAATTTTGTTATTTATCTTTAATAATTGAATGCTTTCGAAGAATTATTTATGTAAATAATTGAATTCTTGTGAAGAATTTTATTAAATTCTGAAAGAATAATTAAATTATTTCAAAAGAAAATTCAATTAGAATTGTATTGAAAACAATTAATTTCTTTCGAATCATTTTATTAATTTTTTGAAGATAATTATTTAATTCTTCCAAAAAATATTTTTAAAAAAATATTTTTTTAAATAATTGATTTTTTCGGGGAATTGAAATTAAATTTTTAAGAATAATTACATACATTTTTTTGAGCAATTCCTAAAAAATTATTTAAATCCTGATATGAATTTTATTATTATTTAGAAAAATAATTGAATAGTTGCTAGGAATTTTATTATAATTCTCAAAAATAATAATTGAATTACAGAGAAGAGTTAATTATTATTTTTGAAAATTAAATTACAGAGAAGAATTTTATTATTTTTGAAAATAATGGAATTATTGAGGAAAAGTTTATTAAAATGTTTAAAAAGAATTGAGTTTCTGTGAAAAATTTTATAATTTTTGAAAGTAATTGAATTCTTCATAACAATTTTATGAACATTGTTTTAAATAATTAATTTTTTCGAAATATACTAAATATTATGATAATTTTATTATTTAAAATAATTGAATTCTTGTGAAAAACTTTATTTATAAAAATAACTAAATTTTTCGATTATTAATTTAAAAAAAAAAAAAAAAGTAAAAAAAATAGTAGGTAATAAAAATAATTGAAATTCTTCGATAAGTTTTATTATTTATGAAAATAATTAAATTCATGCGTAGAATTTAATCAAAAAATTTTTTTTTTAAATTGAATTTTCATGAAAAATTTTATTATTAGTGAAAGTAGTTGAATTATTGTGAAAACTAAATTGCATAAAATTTTGTTAAATAATTTATTTTTTCGAATTTTTTTTTAAAATTAGCGAATTAAAAGTAGTGAAAAATTTAAAAAAAATATATATTGTTTATATTCTTTGTTCAGAAAGTTGAATATATAATAATTTTTTTAAAAAATATTTAAAAATTTGAAAAAAAATTTAGGTTGTATTTCGAAAATTAATATTGCAAGAATTAAATATTCAAGTGTAGGAAAATTGTCGAAATTCAACTACAGAAAAATTGTTTTAAAAAAATTATTAGTTATGATTAATAATTTTTCTTTAATATTGAAGAGTAAAATTTATTATCAGTTCTCTCTGGGCTGCATTCCTAATACTAGTTGTTAAATTAATTACAAAACTTAGCGCATTACCTGAAATAATTCTCCAGCTGTGATTTTCTGAGGATCACATGTTACTTCGAGTCGTTGACCAGTTAACATAATTACAATTAAACGACTAGAATTGACCGACTGGAAAATAAAAACATTGAATTGTTAATATTAATAATAAATAATTTTTTTTTATAATGTTAATCATGCAAAAAAAAAATTATTAATAATCGTGCTTAAAATTAATAGTTTTAATTAATAATATTTTTTTATTTCTTTATAATTTTCTTTTCTTTTTTTAATCATGTCATATCATACGAAATTAAAAATTCTTTCACATAACCATAGTCTTAATAGCAGACTTCAATTTTTTTTTCTTATAATCCAAGCCATTTTAAATGCGTCGTCTTTAAAAAGTACATTTTTCCCGCAACACTTCAATCCGGTATGGTCTAGTGGCTAGGATACCTGGCTTTCACCCAGGAGGCTCGGGTTCGATTCCCGGTACCGGAATTTTTTTACAATTTTTTAAACTAAAAATATCAATAATTTTTAATTTTGCTACAACTAAAATTTTTATTTTCGAATTTATTAAAAATAAGGATCGAGAAAACAGGTATTTAACTGTAAAATTGTTTTTATATTAAAAAAGAAATGTTTAAAAATAGAAATTAATTTTTTTAAGAAATTAAAATAAAATTAAAATTTTTTTTAAATTAAAATTTTTAGATTAAAATTTTTGTAAGATAATTATTTCTGTAGTGTGGTAGTTTCTGTGATTTCGCTTAATGTCTGTCATTCTAGAGTCAAGGGAAGAGATTGTGGAGAACTTTCAACTTTACTGTGTTGTATGGGTCGGAGCTCAGATGGCAGCAGCGACTGGTAAGAGCAGGCAGTCTGCTTTTACCATCGAGACAGAAGCATAGACAATCAACTCGTCGAGAGACGTTAAAATCAAAATAAAGGAAATTTAAAAGTATTTGGCGCCCAATATACTTTTTAAAAAAACAATATCTCGTGACATAAGAAACAAATCTTTTTTTATTACAAAACAACTTTTTAAAAATTTTTCAAATGGAAAATTAATTTTAACTACATTATGAAAATGATTTAAATATTCCATAAAATTTCTCTTACATGAATTTTATTTTTAATTTAATTAATTTTTTTAATTTATTATAGTAAATAAAAAAAATTAGATAATGTTTAATTTAATACTATTATCAATATTATTTAAAAAACCGGTTCTTAAATAAAATTATTAATATTTAATTTAGTTTTTTATAATAAATAAAAAAATCAACATTTAATTTAGTTTATTATAAAAAAAAATACAAAAAAATAAATATTTTTAATTTAATGGTTGTGAAATAAAATTGTTCTAAAAATATTATGACCGTTTTTGAATTTTTATTTTACTTAAAAATTCATAGATTTGAAAATCCATCCGCAATTATGCAGAAAATATGTTTTTATATCAACCTAAAGATTACCGAATAAAAAAATTGTTTTTTTCTATTTTTTAATCAAAGAATTATAATAAGAATATGAATTAAAATTATTTATAAAAATAAATTGTTAAGCGAAACTCTTCTGCAACAAAAATTTATTTTTTATAAGCAGAATAAACTTGAATTGAATTATAATATAAAAAATTAATACTGAAAAATTATTTTAGTAATAATTGTTAAAAATTTAATTAAAAAAAAGTTGATTGAAAATCAAAAAAATTTCCGGTACCGGGAATCGAACCCGAGCCTCCTGGGTGAGAGCCAGGTATCCTAGCCACTAGACCATACCGGATTGGAGTATTCCGGGAAAAAAAGCACTATTTGACTCAAAGCGATCTTATAATAATAGAAACCTATTTCCATTCACTTCTTTGCTTGTCCCCTTTATAAATACCTAACTTTTGCTTCTCATTTTTTTTTTGGTCTGAATTTTTTTCAAAGAGAGGTTAAGTTTATGATTCGTTTGACACTTCGAGAATATTTCAATGAATAAACTATTTTTTTAAAATTACAATTATTTTTTTTAAAAGGACTTGTAAAATTATAGAAACTTTGTTTACTTCTCTGAGGCCTTTTTAAAAAGTTATGGTTATTAAAGGGAAATTTTTATTGGATATTACGTAAATTTTTGGTTATTAATAACCTTGTGGTCCTAAAAATAGAATTTATAATAAGGTCATTTTATTTTAAGTACATATTAAAATGGTTTTTCTCGATGAAAGTAATAATTGTATAATAAAAAATAAAATATTTAATAGAGAGTTTATTGAACGTTAAAAATGATTTTTAAGGCTATTTTTACAATTTTTATATGACAGGTTTAAAAAAAGGAAAATGCAAATATTCTACAGATAGAATTTTTTTTTGTTTATTATAATAAATAAAAAAATAAATAAGTAGTAGGAATATAAATAAAAAAAAAAGTAGGAAAAATAAAAAAAAAATATTTTTAATTTATTTATTTATTGAATCTCAATAAGTCTATAATTTAATGGTTATAAAATAAAATTTTTCTTTTTGTAAAATTTAATTTTATAAAAAGAAAAACTTTTTTCTAGGCTTGCGTTTAAGAAAAAAAGAATTTTTAAACTAAAGTAATTATTAATTTTTTTTTTTTTTTTTTTTTTTTTAAGTAATAATTTATGTTCTCATTATTTTTATTTCATTTTTTTCATTTTATTTTTTTGTTTTATTATTATTATTATTATTTTTATTATAATTTGATATTTTGAAAATTATTTCCCTTTTTGCTTAAAATTTTGGTATGAATAGAAAAAACGTACCTTAATATCACCAACGGTCATGATTTTTGACGGTTGATTTGCACGAACGACAAACTCAGGACCGACGCATTGTGTTTTATTAAAATTCCTCATTTGACCTCCAATTGCTCTATACAATCGAGAAGGTGCTCTTTGTACTGGTTTCCCTCGTCGCGCTCTTGGTCCATTCTTGATATTGACTCTAATAAAAAAAAAATTTTCTAAATTAAAACTTTTTTTTTATGAATTACTTATTAGAAACAAATTTTCCTTTTTTAATTTTATTCAAGAGAAATTGATTTTTATTACTTTTTTTTTTATTTTTATAATATTAAATTACAAACTTAAAAGGCATGCCATTAAAAAATGTCTTTTTAATTAATTCTCTTTTACTAAAAATTAAATTCAAAAAAATAATTAATGAAACTTTATAATCATTCATTAAAAAAGTGATAATGAAAAAGATAAAAGTGATAATGAAGGTGAAAATTTAAATTTTTAATTGTAATTAAATATTCTAAATATACAGGACAAAAGCATTCGAAGATTTGTCGATATCAAATTAAAAATAATGTTAAAAAAAATATTGTATTCTTAAAATTTAATTTAATTTTCAGTTATAAATTTAGTTTTTAATTTATTTTCAATTGTAATTTAATTTATTTTTAAATTTACTTTTCAATTCTCTTATTTTAATTTAATTTTTAATATACTTTTTAATTTGCAATTTAATTTTTTATATATTTATTAAAACTCTCAATGGGCTTATAAAAAAATTTCTTACACAAGAATTTAATTTGTTTTTTAATTTAATTTTTACTCTATGCTTTATTTAATTATTTATGTTTTAAATGTAATAAAAAATTTTATTTATTTAATCTTTGAACGGACTTTGAAAATATAAAAAAAATTCCTCTTATGCTCTTCATTGATTTTTCAATTAAATTTTCAATTATTTATTTAAATTGTTAATTTGAATTGGATTTTTAATTTTGAAAAGGGTAGAGCTCAAAAATTGACTATTTTCACGATTTTTGTTTGTAACAAAACATTTTTAAATAAAACTATAATTATTATCTCTAAGTTGAAAATTAAAACTACAAATTTCAGTAAAAAAAAATAATGAATTAAATATTAATGAATCTTTTGAAAATTGTGTTTACTTTGTGTAGTAAAAAAAGGATTTTTTTTGGCAAAAATCCAAAAGGTGATACTATGGTAAATATTCGAATTTTTTCTTATACGTGGCCTTAGAACGTGTATTTAACTGAGATGCAGCTAAGGAACTTATAAACGTTACGATAAAAAACTCCTTAAAGTGGGCACTAATGCAAGACATTATGTCGCTTTGCTGGAGGTACATCGCTTTAGTGTGGTAAATTTAATTAAACTCCAAGCTCAATAAAAACTCTTCTTTTACATTAGAGCGTCTTTAACACTGTCGTGTGTAAGCGCCTTAACTCGTATGCTACATTATTTTCTGTATGCTTTCGGTTCTTGACGTTTAATTAAAAAAAAAAAAAAAAAAAAAAAAAAAAAAAAAAAAATGAAAAGAGAAAGAGAAACTAAGCTTGTTTAAAACGTAAAAAAAAATTTTTCCTTCTAAAGCTGCGTGTTTCTTTAGTCGATTCTGACAATGTAATTAAATTTCACTCATCCCAGTGATACTCACTTGATAGTTTTGTTTTTTTAAATTTTTAAATTAAAATCTTAATTAATCGTTAACGGATGAATTTTAAAAAAAAATTTTCTGTCTCTGTTTAAATTGAACTGTTTAAAAAGAGTTTTTTTCAAGTGTAAAAAATTTCTCAAAAAATTATTATTTATTATTTTATTTATTAAGTAGTTTTATTTGTTTACTTTTAAAAATCACTTTTAAATACAATTGTATTTTTTAGCATAAAAATTTAGAAAATAATTGAATTTTTCAAAAATTTCGAATTAAAGTTCTCAGCATAGGATTTTTGATTGAAATTAGAAAACAATCAGGAAAATACTAAATCAAATTTTTGTGAATCAACTAAAACAATTTTTTTTATTCGTTAAAATTAATTTTCGACAGATATTTTTTTACTACTTTTTTCAGTATTAAAGATACTTTTTGATACCTTTTTAAAATTAATTATGGAGTGTGAAGCCTGCTTTTGGTGTCAATTTGATACTTTAAAGAAAATTATTTAAAATATTTAAAATTATTTAAAATTATTTACAGAGATTTAAAATTGTTAAGAGATTTAAAAATATTTAAAAAGTTTGTTAAGGAGATTTAAAAATATGTAAAACGTTTCTTAAGAAGATTAAAAAATATTTAAAAAGTTTTTTAAAGAGATAAAAAAAATATCTTTTTGTTAATGTTTTTTTTTCTTTTCTTTTTACAAATCAATCCGTTTGATGTTTGAATTTTCTTCTTATTTGCGCGAATGAAAAGGTAAATGTGCAAGAGGATAGTGCCTATAGTCATCCAATCAGTTTGCTAATCAATCTGGAAAGGTCTCTCTTTTCTCTCTGTAATTGATTTTGTGTCGAATATTTCATCCTTAGCTGAAAACGGGTTCGAAACATCTATGGAAAATCATGTAAAGTACCGATGGGTGTATAACGATGACTGTGTATTGGAATTCACTCCACATGCATATATATGTGTGTAAACTCGGTATGCGGTAATAAAGGGATAATTCAGCCTGGGGCTCAACCACACCTTTTAGGCAGAGTAAAATTTCATTCTTTTCGGTTGGGAAATGTAAATTTTACTGCTGGTAATTATTTAGTGGGTAATTATGTGGGAATTTTTATTCTTAAATCTCTGCTAACTGTCATTACAATTGTTTCTGGAGTAAATATATTTTTATTAATACAGGGTTGCCACAGGTCAGGGAAATCAGGGAATTCAGGGAAAAATCAGGGAAAAGTCAGGGATTTTTATTAAAGCAACTGGAAAAAATTGAATTTTGGTGAAGTTACAAATACTTGCAGACATTCAATTATATTCAAAAGTAATAAAATTTTTCGCATAAATTCTGTTAAGACTAGGATGGATCGAGTAAAACACAGTTAATTCCAAATCACTGTTTATATTTATTTAACACAAAAAAAGATTCGTTAGTAAGTAAAAAGGTTAACAAGATTAACAAGCGCGTACCGAGAGCGACGAGACGCATTCGTACAGTGGTGTAAAAAGGAAACCGACGTATATTTTACAGGTGGCGTTCTGAAGGAAGTCACGTGTCCCTTTTGAATTGTCTAGCGCGAAATACAAAAATATCCGATTTCAATACTCCCCCTCGATTAAAAAGGGCACTTTGATCTTTACACTGTAATTTTCACTAAACCAAGACGGTCCACACACTTCACGTGTTTTTGCTTTTGTAATCCTTTCGTCAAGACGTCGGCGGTCATGTCCTCAGTGGGTAGATACTTTATCGTTATTTCTCCTTTTCGTAGGCACTCGCGAATGTAATGGTGTCGAACGTCTATGTGTTTGCTCCGGTTGTGAAACACCGGATTTTCGGCCAATTTACGAGCACCATTGTTGTCACAAAAAATTGTAACCTTCTCAGTCTTTGAAAATCCCAGTTCTTTGAGAAAGCGTTTTAAATATGCGGCTTCCTTCCCGGCTTCGGCCAAGGCCATATATTCGGCCTCAGTCGATGAAAGAGCCACGGTCCTCTGCTTTCTAGATTCCCATGAAACACTGGATCCTCCAAGAATAAACGAAAAACCAGTATAGGACTTCCTGTCATTTGGGCAGTTTGCCCAATCGGCATCGACAAATCCCTCCAGCGATTTTCCAGATCGATAAAAATGTAGACCTACATTTTTCGTTCCTTGTAAGTAGCGAAGTACGCGTTTTGCAGCTGTCCAGTGGTTCATATTGTAGCAGTTGTTGAACTGGCTGAGGTAACTGGTCGCGTATGCGATATCGGGACGAGTACACATAGCCAGATACATCAATGATCCCAAGAGTTCACGATACGGGAGAGAGTTTTCCTCGTGACCAGGATCCTTTGCTTTTTCCAACTTCACTCCGGGGTCTAGCGGCGTTGACACCGGCTTGCAGTCTGACATCCCAAAACGTGCGAGGACATCATTGACGTATCCTGTTTGACTGATCTGAATTCCCTCTTTTTTTATATCGAACTCCATTCCCAGACAATGTTTGACCGTTCCAAGGTCCTTGACATCAAAAATCTTCGATAGATAGTTTCCGAATTTCGTGATTTTGTTTACGTTCCGAGAAGCAACGAGAAAATCGTCGACATAAATTGAAATTATTAGCAAATCCTCTCCCTCTCCTTCGTAGTAGACGCACGGATCTGCGGAGGACTTTCTGGCACCAAATTTCATTAATTCTTCGTTGATTCTGTCATTCCAGCAACGACCTGCTTGCCGTAGGCCATAGAGGGCCCTTTTTAATAGACACACTTTGTCTCCCGATTGAAGATCATTCAGCATTTTCTTCGCTTTTCTTCCGACGACAGAGTCCGAACTTTCAGAGGCAATGATTTGTTCCAAAGCATGTGCGGTGTACTTTGGTACTTCCATGAGTACTTCTTCGTCGAGGTAACCATTTAAATATGCAGTTGTGATGTCGAACTGCTTTATCGTCATGTTATGTTCTGCCGCTGTTGCCGTTATACACCTGATAGAGTTAAGACGTGCCACTGGGGAAAATGTTTCATCGAAGTCGATACCAGGTCTTTGGGCGAAACCTCTCGCCACAACTCTCGCTTTCCTTCGATCCAAGGTTCCATCCTTCTTGTATTTGTTTCTTAGAATTAAACGACTGCCAATCACTGCCTTGTCATTTGGTCTGTCGGTCAGAACCCATGTGTCATTCTTGATAATGGATTTGATTTCCGATGTTATCGCATCGTTCCATTCTTCAGCATCAGGTCCTCGAACAGCCTGCTGTAGGGGAATTTCAGTGAGAGAAACTATTTCTTCAATTGAATTTGAACAATTTACCATATTATACTTTTTTCTGGGTCTCCCTCTTTCGCCAGTCCTAACATTTTGAGGTCTACCACGACCTCTGCGTTGATTGTTTACATTTTGTCGATTGTCATCTCGAGCGTCATCACCTTCGTCCCGTTCAACCAATTCTTCATCGTTTGATTCGTCACTTAGAAGGTCTTCTGCGTCGTTCCAATCGTCGACAGATTCGGTTTCTGCCTCATTTTCCTCTGGGTGTCGGTGATCATT